GACAGCAGATGGTCTTTTGGCCTAGAGATGTTGGCTGATCTTCCCCAAAGTAGAGCTTTTGGCCAGATCGGTGGCCGTTGCCTGGGCTTCATCTTCAAGAGCAAGGTGGGGGGCGGGGTGAAGAAAGGGGCAGCCTGACCTCAGGCAGCACTGACCTCTGCATGGAGCTCAGAGGGTGTGGCTTACGTCATGGGAAGGCCCTGTGTCTAGCATGTTCTTTCACCCTGGGTGGGTGGTCCGAAAACTTCCATCGCGTCCCAGATCACGTTCATGTTGGGACTTGATCTAGAAATAGATGAACATGAGCACTCCTTACCAGCCAATCTTGATCATCAGGTAGCACTGGGTGACTTTGGGTTTCCAGGGTGGGCGTTGTGGTACAGAGCACAGATTCCTATTTGGAGGCAGCCCCTGATGGAGTCAGGCCTGGTTCTGTGGAATTTCCAGCTAAGGCTGCCACAAACCGGCCAGAGACTTGGGCAAGTCGCTCCAGGTCTCTGGGCCTCAGTTTCCTCACCTGTTTAAAAAAGATGAAGGTGTTTTAATCAGCTTTCTGTCATTGTGACCAAAATACTCGAACAATTTAGAGGGAAAAAAGTTTATTTTGACTCATGGTCTCAGGGGCTCAGTCCATAGTTGGCCAGCTGTAACTCTGGGCCCGAGGTGAGGCAGAGCATCCAGGTGGAGGGATGTACCTAGGAAAGCAGCGTAGAACCTGGCGACCAGGAAGCAGAGCTCTTCTCACCAAGGACAAAGTGTACACCCCAAAGGCACAGCCCGGTGACTTGCGTCCTGCAGCGACGACCTGCCTGCCCAGTTAACCCAGACCAGCACTACTTAGGCCACAGCTCGCATGACCTGACCGTTTCACCTCTGAACACTTTGCATCGTCTTCTGCCTGAGCTTTTGGAAGACACCTCATATCTAAACCACACAAGTGGGATAAAAAGATCGCTTAACTTTTCTTTTGGAAACTTGTATGGTCTCTGCTACTTATTATCCCCAAACCTTGAATTTTCTCCAGTAAAAATTGAGCACAATGGAACCACTTAGTGATGTGTTGGGAAACCATATTTACAGTACCTTTTTATTAATAGACGCCCGTGTTTTCGTTATGTACGCACACACTGACATTCACAGGTACATCTGTATTTCTATATGTACAAGTGGATGTATATTATTATATCATGTATGTGGGCTGGTCTTATACTATTTGATACTATCATAGTTCATATATAAGTAAAAACATGAAAATATTTAAACCAAATCACAAATAAAGGGAAAAGAGAGTCCACACTCGGGCTTTGGGGACAGTTTCATAACCTGTTTTGACACAGCGCATCACCGAGGAGGGCTGAACTCAGAATTGTGTTGGACAGCCTCCAGCTGTGGCTTTGAGATTTAGTCTTGAGAGCTCTGTGGACGTCTCTGAAATCTGAGAAAATAGCTGGATAAAAAAGCCTAACAGTTGGGGAGCCCTGCAGGCTCAGGTTTCCCTCTTCCCTGTGCGCCACCTCACACAGTAGCATACCGCCGTGTGCTGGTGGATGGTGTTGTGCAGGTGGGTGGCTCTCTGGCCCTGCCTGACTTGTTGAAGACTGTCCCCTGATTAGAGGACAAGCTCTGCAAACACAGGGGCTGTTTGTGATGAGCTCGTTGGTGATCAGGACCTCTCCTAGCACCGTGTGAGCAGGAGGGAAATCAGCAGAGATAATGCTGCAGTGGGCACCCCCAGCCCCGGTGTCAGCTCTCGGTTCATCCACGAGAGACTTTAGGATAAGAACATACTGTAAACTGAGCTTGCTAAAAACATTTGGAAGCCACAGAAATCGTGAAAAGGGCATGGATTTTGAAGACAGTTTTGGATTTGAGCCCTGGCTTCCATCATTTGCTAACTAACTACATGGCCGAAGGCAGAGTAATTTGCCTCTCTAAGCCATGATTGTTTCATCTGTAAAATGGTCTGTTTGAAGATTATAAGTAAGTGTACAAATGGGTTCAGTCCAGTGCCTGATGCATAACAAAATGTTCAACAAATTATAGTAATTATGCTTCTCATGCTGAGAATCAGAGCCACTGTATTTATGTTTGGCTATTAAGAACTGTTCAGACCATAGAAATACACATATCGTATTTGCATACTTACTTATATGGTGAACATAACATAAGCCCATCTAGGGAAATATATTTACTTATAATTTAGAGATGTTTTAACAGATTGTAATGACAACATTTCTCTGTGATGCATACTTGTGGCATATTAATTTCCTCCCCCAACCCCACCCCAATTTTAAAGTGCGTGGAGCCATCACAGAATAATTTCTTACATTTTAGTTTTTTCTGGTTGGGGAAAAAAAAAAAAAGAAAACAGCCTATGGGAATTGCCTTTGTGCCTTGGGGCTCCAAAACGCTGCTTTATTTTTATGTACAGACTCTTTGTGGGTGGACTGTAGAAATTTTTGCTCTTGGAAATGTTTCGAGCTCCTGGGAAACTGAATAGGGAAAAAAGAGCTAATTAAAAAAGCTGCCATCCGCCTCCTCTAATTAACTTGCTCTCCCCTCCCAGGAGAGGGCGCGGAAATATGAAAACAAGGCAGACGGCTCCGGAAGTGAGTGCCATTCCTGTGGCCCACGGTGGTCCTCAGTGTTTTGATGCAGAAATAGTTAATAGTAAACAGGATAGGGGGCACAAAGGGCCTGGTGTGCCCCTGCCCTGCCCACCCCCGGCGCTGCCTCCCACATAGGCCCTGTGAATGCCGGTCCCTCCAAGCAGGTGTGCCATCGGGCAGCTGCAGCTAGACCCCAAGAGCATCCGGCCCTCCCTGTTGCTGTGCTGTTGAGAAAGACCAGGGCTCTTTGTGCTCCAGAGTCACATGTCACCAGTGCCCAGGGATGCAGAAGCTAGGGGGACGGACACTCAGTCCCTCTCCTCTCGTCTCAGCTTGGGTGGAGCGGCACTGGGGCCTCCGGATGCCGGAGAAGCTCATGGCATCTGTGTCTGGTGGTGTGGCTAACTGTTTTGGTGATAATGAAAGAGATTTAGATCTCAAAGATACCAGCGAGGACATTAGGGCTGGGAATTCGGGGGACAGAGGCTGTTCTTCCGTGGAGATGGCTTTTGGCTCCTGGCGGATGTGGTCTCCGGTGGAATGGGCCCGGTGGATGTGGACGGTGGTGAGCAGCAGTCGGGCTCCCGGGCCACCGGCCCTTCGAGGAGGCTCTGGAGACAGGCAAGTTGGCTTCATGCGTCTTGTCAGTGTTGCCCCGATGCTGGGGGCAGGGTGGGGAAGCCAGTTCCTAGAGTCCACCCGGCCACCAAGGTGATCCAGGCTCTCCTTCCTCTTTGCTGCTGCGTGGTGTGACCTCCTGTGTTCTCATATTTGTAAACAGACTCTGCAGAATCGCACGCGCCTAGATCTGTCACCGTCTCTGTGGGGATGGGTCTTAAATTCTCCTCTTGGACAAAAGCTTAGTCCTTTAATATTAATGTGTGTGTGTTAAAAAGTCAGTTTCCCTCTTGTGTTTGCATGAATTATAAGTATTTACTCATGAAATTCAATACTGTGCTGGCTTCGGCCCAGTGGAGCCCATCAAAAGCAGCTCTGGGGTTTGTTCATCTCTTTGGGTCCCTGGAGGACTTCATGGCTGGTTAGAGGAGTCAAGGTCCTCATGGGGGGTGGATGGGGGTGACCTCTGGCACTATGAGTCTCTCATAAGGGAACTCACCAAATGGCCCCTTTCTGTCCTCCTGGCAGATAGTGGAGGGACTGATTTGGTTCCTGGTGCTCTCTGGCTGTTGGTCTTTAGAAGATGGTGGCCTGTACCTAGGTCACTGGTCCTCTGACCCGGGAGAGGCCAGCAGTGTGCCTGCCCCACAGTGTTGGCCTACCTGGCTCAGCGGCACGGGTGCAGCCCAGTGTGTCTGTCACAGCGTGTTCCCCGTCACCTGCCCCATTACTGCCTGCCAAGGTCATTCATGCCAATGTGCAGTCCTCAGAGCCCACCCTCTTGGGAGTTAACCGCCTTGTTGCAAATGAACCCATTGGTGTTCAGGGTTATTTATCATATTCTGAGATGGGAACTGGCCCGCGGCTGACGCTTCCACGCTGACCGTCCACGTAGCTGTGGTTGGGCGCCTGTCCACGGGCAGCTGGAGCCAGTGTACTGCTGCCCTCTGGCCCAGGCAGCATGTGGGCCAGTGACCTGGGGAGCCTCATCTTCTGGCTTAAGATGGAGCACATGTGGAAGCAGGTGAGGGAGCAGGGCGGTCTGCTGGGCTGTCTTAGCCCAGGGCAAGGCTTTGGCCATTGGCTGCCCATGAGACAGACAGTAGCTTCTCGGGGCGGACTTTTGGTCCACATCTCCAGGTGGAGAACCTTTCTTGTCCTGCAGGGCCCACAAGAACCGTGTCCACACCCTCGGGCTGTCAGGCAGTGCTTTGTGGCTTGGCCTGGTGCCCGTCCTTGCTGGCTCGCTGGCTTTCACTCACTCAGAGAGGCCCGTTCACTGTCCTGGGTGTGGGGCTCTGGGTTCTGTGAACAAGCATGGCATGTACAGCCCCGTGGAGGACAAAGAGGACATGATTATTAGCAAGTGAATAAATCTCTGCTGACAGTTTATGAGGGGCGCTGGGAAGGAGGAAGAGGGGCACGGACGCCTAACTCCATGGGGTGGGAATTTAGGTGACAGGAACCACCCTGGTCCAACACGCATACTGCCCTGGGTCTGAATGGACGCCAAGGAGTGGGTACCAGAGTTCCTCTGGAGAGTCTGCTGTGGGCGAATTTCCCCTGAGGTGACAAGTATGTGATCTGAGTAGAGCTGAGTTCAAAGAATAAGGGGTTTGGCCATAATCACGTCATCACTTTCTCACCTCTGTGCCCAGGTGGTTGAATTGAGGGCCCACCTCTAGCTGCCCCTGTGGCTGGTGCTGTGTTGGAGCGCAACGTGCAGAATTGCTGTTGGCCCCGTCTGACCTGTCTCTCTCCTCTCTCCTTCAGGAGTTCTGACTCTGAAGAAGCATTTGAGACCCCGGAGTCAACGACCCCTGTCAAAGCTCCACCAGCCCCACCTCCGCCACCCCCTGAAGTCATCCCAGAGCCTGAGGTCAGCGCACCACCAGCCCCGGAAGAACCAGGTAACGCAGGGCCAGGGCCAGGGCCCTTGGGAGATGGGCGGTGACTCCTGGCAGTGCACACTGGAGGCAGATGCCCACCCCAGCACAGAGGGAGCAAGACCCTCAGACTCGTCACAGCCCGCAGCACTAGGCCTTGACTCTGGGCTGTGTCCTGTGTTTCGCAGGTTGTCGTCAGGGCTGGGGTGAGCGCCTACAGTGGATCCGGCTGGATTGGGCTGGGTGTGCTTTGCACTGGGAGCTTGTTACCCAGAGCCTCAGATGGTGTGCAGCTGGAGCAGCTGGGTCCTGGAACTTCCCAGCAGAATGTTGGCTTCTGCTTTTTGACCCTGTGCCCCTGGGAGAGTGTCAGGCTTTGTCCAGCTGATGTGACTTTGCACTTGTGTTCCAAGCACAGAGCCCCCGTGGGCTGGGGAGTAAGACGAGAGAGAGTCCGCCCATGCTGGCCGCAGCCTCACCACCCTGGGGCTACCTGATTTTTCTTGCTTCTCCACACTCTCCCTCCCCTGGTGTGAGTGGCAACACCTTTGGATTCTGTTTAGATGTGGTGATCCCACTGCTCCCGTGGCTGGTGCTGTGTGCTTCCCCCGGTTTCTCCAGTGGGGATAAAGAGACACCCTTCTTAGAAAGCTTAAGAGAGTCCTGGAAGGAGACGCAGCCTGCCTGAAGTGGCCCCACGGGCGGGTCAAGGCCAGGTGGTGCTGTGCTAGGTCCTGGATGGCTCAGGGTCCCACACTGTAGGACCCACTCTGACCCTCCCCGGGTCCCCGCCCTCCCCGCCTAACAAGCATGGGGAGCTGACTCCCTCCAGACCTCATAAGCCTCCCGCAGCCACCGGAGGTCCACCCCAGCCCCAGTCCTAGCCATCTTCCCCTCCAGCCTGTGGAGGAACTGGGCTGAGGCTGGGACCTGCAGGCTGGTGTGCACAGCCTGGCTCAAGGCAGCCAAGAGGGACGGAGCTGGCAGTGGGCAGAGGGTCAGGGTGAGGCTGGGCCTCCGTTTGTGCTCCTGCCTGGGTCAGGAGTCAGCCGGGCTGTACAATAGAATAATATTTTGACCTTGATGTTGATTTTAGAAAGTAAAAGGTGGAATTGCTTTTGTCTGCCCTATAAGTAGGCCAGTGATTGAAAAAGGATAATGCCAGGGCTTTGGCCCTGACAGGTGGGCTGCCCGGGGCAGAGGAAGATGGGAGAGGCCGTTTCCACGAGAGCAGACGCCTTGGCTGGGGTGGGACCCGGTGTTTTCACGTCCCCCGTCTTCAGCATCTCCTCGGCCAGCAGCAGAGTCAGGACAGAGGCTGGGCTCCGAGAGCGGGAGGATGGTATTTATCTGACTGAGGTGGGGAAGACCCAGAGGGCTGCTTGCAGTTCCCAGAGAGTCATTTGCTTCCCTTCCTTTATTTTATGTAATCATGTAAAAATGTATTTCCCGTACGGTTTTTACAAATTGCCCAGTTTTTGATGATAAGTGACTGAATGACCAACACCTTGTGAACCCTGGGCCAGGCACATGATTAAGGCCCGTGCAGGGCAAGGTCATTCATGACCATGGGCTCGTCTTCTGTTGTCCGATCCCCTGCTTGCTCTCAGGAACAATTTTCCACTTCTTTTTGTTGCTGTTCTTCCTTGTGCCAAAGCCGAGAACAATTTCCATTCTTAAAAACACACACACACGCGCCACACCCACCTCTTCCTTAGGTGGCCGTTATAAGAGTGAACATGATGAGGCTTATGGGAGGGCCCCTGGGGGAAGGGGCTGGGGATGTGGATTGCCACTGAGTCACAGTCCTCGGAGCCTTTGATTACACCCCTGGAGTCGGAGCAGGGAGAATGGAGACTTTCCACCCGTCCTGAGAACTGCAGGGAGGCTGAGGGGAGGATCCTGCGAGGAGCGGAAGGTTAGACTCACCACTGCCCCACGTCCCCCCTGCTTGGGCTGCACAAAGGCCCATTTGATTTGCCGCCCTTGTGAGGACCGCCCCCCAGAAGTGGCATCCCCTCATCCATTCTGCAGACCTGCATGGGGCATTGCAGAGGCGTGAGAAGTGCCTGAGAAGTGCTGTGGGGGGCTGTGGGGGCTGTGGGGGGCCCTAAGGGAAGAGAGGCTTGTCCTGGGAACCATGGGAAAGAATGGGCAGGAGAGGAAGAGCTATTGTTTGGCTTTCCTCTTCAGCGCCTGGAATGTTACCAAAGTTGCCCGAGGAACCTCATGAAATAACAGACCAGACCTTTGGCTGTGGACACAGCGTGGTTTGCCCTTGCCTTTGCCCCTGTCTGGGGTGGGGCAGGACTCCTTGGAGCCCAGCTTCCTTCTCTGTAAATGAGGAGGGCCACCTGCAGGGCCTCTGAGATCCCTTCCCTCTGACCTGGGGGCCCTGTGAATGGAATGCTTGGCTATGGTACAGTGGCTGTGTTATCAGAACTCAGATCTGGCCACTGGGGACACAGTGAAATATCACACGATGCATAACATTTCCCACTTAAGCCTCTGCCTGTGTTGGGCCTGGGCTTGGACTTTTGAGTGTGTCATCTCCCATTCGGGTGAGAGAATTCTCCCTCACGCACGTGACACCCCTTTCCCAGGATGGCTCCTTGCGCTGGAAAGCAGGCTGCTGTCCACGTGGCGCTGTGAGCAGCTGCGCTCAGCCCCTGACCTGCTGCTGGCTCTGCGGAGGTGCTGGGAGCATGGCCACTATGGTCGCTGATGCCCAGACGGCTGCAGGTGCAGCTCTGTGAGACAGTCCGTGCTGCAAGCTGCAGCCTGGGCCGCGCCAAGGCAGAGGGCAGGGCCCAGGACTGTCAGGGGACAGCAAGTAGACAGACAGCAGGGCGCGTAGCAGGGGGTGGGGGCAGCGAGGAGGGTTCCGTTGAGCATTGTCTTCCACCGGGGACAAAGCTTGTATATTCATTCTTGCTGGGAGATTGCCCAGCCTGGGGAGGGCCCTGTTGGGGTCTCAGAGGTGACTGGAGCCACTCTGCACCCTGAGTGCCTTCAGCTTTCCTCTCTCCCCAAAAAGTGGTGGCCCACGGGGCTCCAGCTGTGGACTGCTGCTGTCATCTTGGCTCAGGAAGGTTCCCAATGCCAGGCCTGGCGGCAGAGTTCCCAGTGGCTTGTGTTTCCACTGTGCCCTCCACAGAGGACCCTGTTCCCTGTGTGTTGTCACTGGAGCAATCCATGTGGGTACTCACCCCGGAGACAGGTGGCCTCCTGGGCCGGGCATCCCAGAAACCAGAGAGGGGAGAGCCCGTCCCAGCCTTGGCAGGGTACAGGGAGCAGCGTCACTGAGGCATGTGCAGGATTTGGGGGGCTGTGCTTGTCATTTCCTGGCACTTGCTGTGCCCTGAAATGAGTACTTAGGTGGCTCCCCCACATCGTCCCCATAAGAATGTCTGGTTTACAGCTGAGGCTTGGAGGGGACAGCAGCATGCCCCAGGTTGGCCTTGCCTTGGTCTGTTCTGGCAGTTGTAATCGCCTCCCAAGGACCTCACCTCCTGATACGGTCACCTTGGGAGTGAGAATTGGTATGGGGATTTCTGGAGGACGCAGATGTCAGGCCGTAGGGTGCAGTAAGGGGGAGCAGGGCTTTTGAGACCAGGGGCTCCTCAAGCACTCAGGCCCCCCTTGGCTGGCTCCTCTCCTCTTGGCTGTGTCCCATGTGCCCAGGTCTCTGGAACAGGGAGGCTGCTGGGGCCCTGAAGCACAGCCCATCCTGAGGACCCCCATGTTAGGTGGGTGTGGTTGTGTCAGCTGCAGGTGGCGGGTGTTGGCCAGGCAGAGCACTAGTGCCTGGGCCACTTACTGCCCCCTCTCCCCTTCGTGGGAATTCCCTCTCGTTTCCAAGTACACCCACTTTTCCCTTACCTTGTGGGTTACGTGGCCCGGCCCGGAGTCATATTGGAGCCCCAACCCTCAACGTGACTGTATTTGGAGATGGGCCTTTTAGGAGGCACTGAGGTTAAGCGGGTCAGAGGATGGGCCTGGATCCTATAGCACTGGTGGCCCTGTGAGAAGAGAGGAAGGGCCGTGTGAGGACAGTGAGAAGCGCCTTCTTCAAGCTAAGGAGAGGGGCCTCTGGAGAGGCCAAATCCACTGACACCTTGATCTTGGATCTCCAGCCTTCAGAACCGTGAGGAACGAGTTTGTTGTTTAAGCCTCGAGTCTGTGATAGTTGCTATGGCAACGTGAGCTGAGTGACAGAGCTGAGAAACCCCAAGTGAGCTTTTTCACGTGATGAGCCTGGATACTAACTTTGTCCTCATACTGAGTCAGAAATGTGGAGTTGCCGGGCATAGGTTTCCAGGGCAGGCTGTGCCCAGGTCTGCACCGGCTACAGGACAGAGGGCATGTTGGTGTGGGTGGATGGGCTGGCCTGGGGTCTAGTCCTTCCTCACCTTTACCTGCTTTGCCTACCTCTCAGTGACTGGCAGGTAGGAGGCACCTCGGTGTGTGAAATGAGTGGTCTTCATGCAGATGTGCATGGACATCGAAAAGTCCAGTGGGAACCCAGTGGACACACACTTGCTTTGGAAAGATCAAGGCCTGCACGTGGCAGTGGCCTCTCACATTGCAGGGCTTCCCAGCCCTGTGACGAATGCCATGGAGCAGCTTGCTTGGGGACCACACACCAACAGAGCAGCTCTCAACCAGGGACAGCTTTGCCCCCCAGGGGACGTGTGGCTATGTCTGAACACGTTGCTGATGGTCTCCGCTGGAGTGGGACATGCTGCCGATATCTACTGGGTCGAGGCAAGGGGTGCTGTACAGTGTGCCCAGTGGACACCCGGCCCCCAGGACAGAGATCTGACCAGCCCCAAATACCCATCATGCCCAGGGAAAGCAATGCTAAGCAGGCTCAGGTCTCGGGGCCCACGGTGATTGGATTATGGGGTGTCACTTCCACGCGGGAAGCTGTGTTAAGCAGGAGGAGCTCTTTCTTCTGGGGAAAGCAAATGAGCAGATGGTTAAGCGGCATATCTGCTGATTGCAGCACGATTCAGGGAGAACTCCTGACTTCAGAAGGCTGCGGAGACCGTGCAGCAGTTTAGCAAAGGAAGGTTGGCACGTGGCCTTGCTTGGAGATGACAGGCCCCTTCTCTCTCTCTGTTGGGGCCCATGTGGCTCCCCTGCTCCTCCTCATCCTCTCTGGGCCTCTGCCCTCTGTACCCAGTGTCCAGGGTCCTCCACAGGGCAGGACGACACGGTCACTGCTGATGGGAAGACGGGGTGCTCAAGGACACAAAGTCCCCCAGGAACAAGGAGGGGAGTTCATCTCAGAAAGGAGAGTGGCACCTGTTCTTTTGAGATGAGCAGGAAGCAGTGGGGTCAGGTGATGGCGGAGAAATCATTTGGTGGGAAGAGCTGAGCCCAGGCTCCAGTCAGGTGCTCCGTATTCAGGGTGTGCACTTCTAGCTGGGCTGGGTGAGGAGAGAAGAGAAGGCCTGAGGCCTGGACCCGCTCATCATGGTTCCAGAAGGTGCTGTCAATCCAGGAGGCATTTGTTGAGTGCAAGACAGAGTGTGACAGTGGACGAGTCTGGTAGAGGAGACGAGCTCCTGCTGGGGAGGCCTGTGTGCTAGTCTCCCCTGCCTGATGGGGCTCGGTGCAGCTCCAGGAGCAAGCCCTGCTTGTGAGCAAGGTGTGATCCCCACCAGGGACTGCAGGAGTGAGCCCGGACAGCTAAGCCACCGGTGGAAGACACCTGTGCAGGCATTTCCCAGACCTGTTTATTGGGGCGATGGGTAGGGCTGCCAGATGGCAAACAAACGTGCAAGGTACCCAGTTAAACTTGAATCTCAGGTAATAAATGATTATGATGTAGATATCCTCTTACTAAACCCGTATTCATTCATCTGAAGTAAAATTTAGCCAGGCATCCTGTCTTTAGCGGCAGTTTTCCCACGGGGATAGGGACCGGCCACGACAGACGGCTCAGGGTCTGCCTCGTCAGAAGAGACCCCCTGGAGCTGGCCCCTGTGCCCAAAGCAGCCTGTCCTCTGGACTCAGAGGGACACGGTACTGTAAGGGAAGCACACTTGGGCAACACCGCACGTCACACTTGTACCAACTTTTCCTGTCCCTTGTCCTGCATGCTCCCTGTACTGAGGACTTTACAACATGAGCCTTCTCGTCCGGTGACATGTTTTTAGTTTTCTGAAAGAACATTTCCTAGCATCCTTTGATGCTCAGACAGCTGGGAGCCCAGAAATGCATGAGAATGTCCCTGGTGCAAGCAGAGCCCAGAGTAGCCAAGCTGAGGCCAGGGCTGGCCGGATCCCCAGGAGCAGCAGGGCGGAGAGGTCACGGAGCGCCATGTGGCCAACATTTGGTATATCTGCAGCATGTTAGGAAGTCAGGAGCCTCCTTGGCCAGCAGTCGACGAGGAGAGAGGGAAACCATGAAGAGAAGAGAATGAACAGTTAGTTGGCAAGGCCAAGGACAGGCGGGAGGGATTGCTCAGAGAGGTTCCAGGTGACATCTGGAGGGGCAGGTGGCAAAGGGCAAGCTCAGTCCTGCTTCCATCCCCTGGGGTCCTCCACGTAAAAGCTGTGGCTCTTCCTCACATGGTTCTGAATTGTCAGGAGCAGGATGCCCATGAGCTAGCTAACGTGGAAGGCTGACTACGCTGTGCTGCCTGTTCTCCTGTCATGCTCCTCTCCCGTTGTCCAACCACACTGGCCTCTTGTCCCGTTCCTCCAACAGACCAAGGGTGCTCCCGCCCCCAGGCCCCTGCCGCCAGGGATGCTTCTTCCTCCGACATCCTCCTGGTTGTGAAGGATCTCGGGTCTGGTCTTTGATCAAAGGGACTTTGCCTAATGATCTTACCTAAAATGGTGATCCCTTTCCCTGCCCTGGTTTTCTCCCAGCACACATCACTATCTGACAGTCTGGGTTATTATTTAGTTGTTTCCTCACCGTCATCCTCTCGAAGGCTGCAACTTCCAAGAAGGCAAGGATCACATCTACTTTGTCCATTTCCTTTTTGAGTCCTCAGCACGGTGCCTGGTCCCATCCTAATCAGGCACTTGGTAAATGCATTTGAGGGAACTGAGGTTAACCTGCCCAGGGTCTGGCGTTAGTCACCCGTGGATGGGGTCTGTCACTCTCTGTCTGGAGGGCAGCCATCTGGCACAAGGTGAGGCATGTTCTCAAGTGACAGCTCTGTCTCCATTTCCCCAGGATGTGGCTCTGAGACGGTCACCGTCCCTGATGGCCCACGCAGCGACTCCGTGGAAGGCAGCCCCTTCCGCCCTCCACACTCCTCCTCTGCCGTCTTCGATGAGGACAAGCCGATAGCCAGCAGCGGGACTTACAACTTAGACTTTGACAGCATCGAGCTGGTGGATAACCTCCAGAGCTTGGAGCCTCGGCCCTCGGACTGTAAGAGCCAAGAGTGCAAGGCCACCGTGCGGAGGAAGTCCACCGAGTCCGTGCCCCCTGCCAAGTCCACGCTGTCCCGCTCCCTGAGCCTGCAGGCCGGTGACTTTGATGGTGCTTCCTGCTCAGGCAGCCCCGAGGCCGCGGCCCTCGCCCCGGACGCAGGCAGCACAGGCTCGTGCAGTGCTTCCAGTACCCTCAAGCGAACTAAAAAACCCAGGCCACCGTCCCTAAAAAAGAAGCAGAGCACCAAGAAGCCTACAGAAACCCCCCCAGTGAAGGAGACCCAGCAGGAGCCAGCGGAGGAGAGTCCGGTCCCCAACGAGGAGTATCTGGCGTCGGAGACGAAGACGGAGCCGGCCGCGGCAGAGGGCTCAGGGTCCCCCTCGTCGGAAGAGACGCCCCCGGAGCCTGCCGCTGCACCCAAAGCCGCCTGTCCTCTGGACCCAGAGTGTGCCGAGGGCGCCAGCCCCTTGGCTTCTGGAGGTGGCAGGGTGCAGAACTCACCTCCTGTTGGGAGGAAAACGTTGCCTCTTACCACGGCCCCCGAGGCCGCGGAGGAGACCCCGTTGGATAGTGGGGGGCAAGAGGACTCCCCGGCCAGAGGGCTGTCAGTGAGGCTGGAGTTTGACTATTCTGAGGACAAGGGTGGTTGGGACAACCAGCAGGAAAACCCCCCTCCTACCAAAAAGATAGGCAAAAAGCCAGTTGCCAAAATGCCCCTAAGGAGGCCAAAGATGAAAAAGACACCCGAGAAACTCGACAACACTCCTGCCTCACCTCCCAGGTCCCCCGCTGAGCCCAATGACATCCCTGTGGCTAAAGGTACCTACACCTTTGATATTGACAAGTGGGATGACCCCAATTTTAACCCCTTTTCTTCCACCTCAAAAATGCAGGAGTCTCCCAAACTGCCCCAACAGTCATATAACTTTGACCCAGACGCCTGTGACGAGTCCATTGATCCCTTTAAGACCTCCTCTAAGACCCCCAGCTCACCTTCTAAATCCCCAGCCTCCTTTGAGATCCCAGCCAGTGCCATCGAAGCCAATGGAATGGATGGGGACGGGCTGAACAAGCCCGCCAAGAAGAAGAAGACGCCCCTAAAGACGTAAGTTCAGGGGTGAAGGTGGTGAGGATCGGAGGCAGGGAGGGGTAGTGCCGTGACCCTTAGTCCTGGGTAACCCTCAGCTGCCCTGACCTCGCCCTGATTGCCACCGTTTTCCCAGGCAGGCAGGATATGTGTTCCCGTTCCTCTCTTGAGGCCACCGTGGGGCATTTTCCCCCCCACAGAGCCCTGTGGGGTCAGGAGTCCTGGATCTTTCATGTGAATAAGTCAGTGATCTCAAGCGGCCTCTAGCAGAAGACCTGACCTTCCACTCTAGGGGAGTGTGGGAGGCCCTTCAGAAGGGGGAGCAGTCGCAAGAGACCTGACCACCTCCTTGTTGGTGACCGGGACCCTTTTGCCTGTTGAGCGTGTGTATTGCCTTCTGAGGGAAAGCCAGGAGCTGTGCCCTGTAAAACACTGTTCAGATGCAGAGTATCTGTTTCTTCCTGTCACGAGGCCAGCCCAGAACCCAACACGGTGGTGGACTCCAGGAGGTGGAGGGGGAGTGTACCCTGGGCCGCTCCCTACACCTGACCAGCCAGGCTGTAAGTCCAAAAGAGATCAGAGAAACCTGCAAAGGGCAGGGAGACCCTGCCACCTCCAGGGAGCCTCTAATAATGGAGTCTTGTCCAACGTGGCCGAGTACATGGCCCTGGAGTCCCGTGTGTCTGCGCTCCAGCGTTCATTCCAAGCCCCAGCTCCGGCTTGGCTGGCTACAGGCCATTCTAGGGCTCGGGGCCACATGCAGTGTGGTTGGCTGCTGAGCCTCTGCTGTTGTGCTGGGAGGCATCGTCTATAATTTATCGAGACTACAGAGACCAGTCTCCCAGGGGTAGTGCAAAAGAACAGGTAGCAGTCCCTCCGGGTCTGCTTGGGATGAGCTAGACAACGTGACCCACTTACCTCCGTTCTGGGCTCCCTCATGCATTGAGCATCTGACCGCTGGGGCTTCCTGAGAAGAGGTTCTGCGTAGCCGGCTTTGGCCTTGTACCACCCCACTGCCTGGTGGAGGCTGGGAGGTCATTCTGGCCAAAGCTGTGGATTTTTCTTAGGTCATCTCTTCCACCAGGCTCTTCCTAGATGGGCCACAGGATCCATGCTGGAATAGGAATCTGAAGTGCTTACTCCAAAGCATGGTCTTTGGAATAGGAGTGAACTTGTAGCCACATTCTCTGATAGCCTGGTTACGTTCCATCCCCAACCACTTTGTTCTTTGAGCATTGAAGCTAACAGGCCTGGAAGCTGAGCCCACATCTTGTGGTCTCACCCCTGGTGGATGGGGTGTTGGCTTGGAAGCTCCTACCCCAGCGTGACAAAGGTCTCAGGACAGGGCCCTGGGCACGATCCGAACCTAGGGAGGTAGCGGTTCCCCGGGGCCCCTTCGCAAAAAGCTGGCAGAATCTGCAGAGGGTAACGGTGGCATCTAGCCCCCAGGAACAGTTGTCTGCAGATATATCCTTTTGTCAGTTGCTCTGTCTGTCTCTCTCTTCTTTGTCTTCTGGTCTTAGGATGGTTGAAGATGTGATGTCTGTGTGTTCTCTGTTGTAAGTAATTTAATGCAATCCGCCTCTTTCGCCCCCTGTGCTTGCCCCTCCTTTGTTTCTGCTTGCGACCCCTCTTGAGTTCCTCTCCATGCTGCTGCAGATGTGTTTCTGGGGTGGGCCCCGGGAATGACAGGGCCCAGGGCTCCCCGGCAGCAGAGGTTTTTCTGTATCATAGTGATTAGCATAGAGAGACTGCTTGGCTGTGAAATGTGATTATCCAACATATGCCTGCTTGTTGGGAATGGAATTTTCTCTCTCCCTGCATACTGGATGCCTTCATCTGAAACCCATACTTTTTTTTTTAACTCCTCATTTCATTCTTTGATTTAAATTGGGCTGGCAGGCAATGGCTTTCGTTAGCACTGTGGCTTTATGCTCACTGTTCACTCAAAGCTTAGGCAGAGACTGTCCCCGCCAATATGCAAAGCATAACTGTTTGGATCATTCCAAATTCAGGCCTCCAGGAGCCCCCTGAAATGTGGGGCCAGCTCAGAGTGAACCCCATAGCTGAAAGCCATCACCAGGCCGCCCTGAGCCATGCCCTGGGTCACTTAGGTCCCCAGCCAGGTATCAGCACGCCTCATCTGCCATCCGTGAGTCAAGCATCAGTGCAACTGACCACCTGTGTGCCTCTGCTGCTCCCCGCCCCACCCCCACCAGGGGGATCCTGTGAGCAGTGTCCAGGGCTCCAAAGCCAATGGCTTCTCCCTGACCTTACAAGCGAAGCTGGCCTGGACCCGAGATCTGGCAGCCCCAGAGTAGAGTGGGGGTCTCTTCGGCTCTTTTTAACATTTCTGAGCGCTATAGCAATTTCAGGATGCAGTTGTATATGCATGAATAAATACATGCTTTGAGCGGTGATTATACTGCTTTTATGGCAAATGCCATAAATGTGTAAGTAACCATTTGTAGTATTTTCCTTCCATTATTAAATGCCATTGTGGGAGCATTTTATTTGTGAGAACATGAGAAAGGAAATTGGGTGACAGATTTTCCTGTCCACCCTGTTAAAACAGAAGGCAGGGGAAGGTTATGGAATCTAAGGTGAGAGGCACCCCTTCCCCCACCAAAACCCTTGCTTTGCTGGAATGGTCCGGAGACCAGGAGGCGGGGGTCAGTCTGCAGGGTGGAGAGGGCTTCCACTCTGACCATGAAATGACCCCTGACTGCCCCTTTGGACCTGATAGTACTTATTTGTGCTCAAAGTGTTCCCATCCTCCTGGGGTCTGCCTCCCTCCTTGACCCTTCCAGATTCTGAGCCTATCCCCCCATAGAAAGGGGAAGGAATGGGAAGAGTCCTGAACCTTGTCTGTCAACCACGGTTAGAAGAAAACATTAAAAATCATCTGACCCCTGGCCCTGCCTTTGCTCCGGAGCACAGGAATCCTTTCAGCTTAAAATCCCCGTGCATGGGAAGGATGCTGCACGTTCTTCCCGAGGACCCAGGGCTTTGTGTCCCTGCGTGGGCCCCTGTGGCCGTTCATTCATTGCTGTGTGGCTTTGCCCATGTGAAAACTGGATCCCACTCATTGGTGTCCCCGGCCTAGGGCCCCTCCCCCAACCTTAGTTGGCTCAGACATTCCTGGAAGAATCCAGATGAATTAATCTGCTCACCCAAAATTTGCTTTGTAAAATAAGAACATTTAGTTAAATTTAGCTTCATTTTCTGGGTCAGATACTCCAAAATGGCATCTCTTTAAAGAATTGCAGCTTGATGGATCTTTCCCTTGGGGGTAAAAATAATATCTGTTAAGAAGTCACTGAATTATCAGCATGGATGTCATGGGCTGTGCTGGAGTGGGCCAAGGGAGGGTGGCTTCGGCCTGCTCGGAGTTGCTTGGGACGCTCTGTAGCTCTGTTTGTTTGTTGACATTGTCCATTCTGTTTCCAGTGACACATTTAGGGTGAAAAAGTCGCCAAAACGATGTCCTCTCTCTGATCCACCCTCTCAGGTACGATGCTCCTTTGATCCCCATGACTCGATTGCTCACTGGGGGCTGAGGTGAGGGGATGTGTTTTTATGGCCCTGATCAACAGAGCTTTCCTTTCTGTTCTTTGTGGGTTTCCAAGACCCTCCTGCCTCCTACATGGAGGGTCCGTCCCGTCCCTTGGTGTCGGTTTTGATCTTGTCATTTTGGCAAAGATCAGAGCGTGTCCCAAGACTAGGAAGAAGTTCAGGAAAAGCGATAGTTGGATTCTGTAGGCGGAACCATTTTGGTCCCTTCTGCCCAGTTAACCTGCTGAGAACTAATGCACCTCTCAAGCCGGGAAGGTCTTTGAGGTCAAGGAATGCAGAGTAAGAAAACGAGACACTGAGATGTCTGTCAGGAGCACTGAGCTAAGCCCCCAAAGGCAGCGGGGGAAGGAGCCCTACAGATGTGGGGGCTGGCTCCTTCCTCAGCCCCTTCTTCCTTAGTATCCCCCTACCAGAGACCAAGGGAGGTTTGCCTTGCCATTCCCAGTCCCCAAAAAGCAAACCTCCTGACCTTCCACATCCCGATGAGCAAAAGCCCAGTCCTGGTGAGGAGTGGGGCTGCAGGAGGGACCAGAAACCTGGCTTGGGCCTGGGGTCCTGTTGCAACAGCTTAGCTCTCACTTCTGGATTCCCTCACCGCTCGGCTCACCCTCTTTTGCAGAATGGCAGTAAGACCCCCTTTCTGTCCTCCCAGGATTGAGGATTGTTGGGAGATGCTGACGATGTTGCTGTGGCAGCCTAAAGCCCCCTAGGAGCTAACACATCACTGTAGGAATAAAACCCGCAGAGTGGCTCAGATAGCCAGGACACGGCGTCCTGTGTGTGTGTTTTTAAATCCACAGTCATTCCTTGAAGTAAACATCCGAGAGGGAGACTTATAGAAGAAAGAATGCGTTTCCCTGAGGGGTCATTTGGAGCAGAGACCGAGCAGAGAGTGGGGGAGCAGGGGGAGGGACTTGACCAGGACCTGTTCTGGGTAATGGGGCCCCATACTCGAGGACAGGCACAGTTATAGAGCAAGACAATGAATGAGAGAAGAGACTGCTTCGCTTTTCCTTGCAGGACCCTACTCCAGCTGCGACACCAGAGACACCACCAGTGATCTCCGCGGTGGTCCACGCAACAGATGAGGAGAAGCTGGCGGTCACCAATCAGAAGTGGACATGCATGACGGTGGACTTGGAGGCTGACAAACAGGACTTCCCACAACCCTCGGACCTGTCTACCTTTGTAAACGAGACCAAATTCAATTCGCCCACAGAGGGTAAGCAACTCAGTGGCCAGCCGGACCCCCACCCTGCCTTGGAGAATACTGCCTCTAGGGAGCAAAGGGCCAGGAAAGTCACTTCTCAACCAGGTAACCGTTACTACTACTACCGTTGTGACCGCCTGCAGGCTCCTATGCACTCAAAGCTAAGGCTGTGTTTTAAAACTTGATACCAGCTGTCCCCTGACCCCACAGTGCCTGCTGAGAACCAGCCTGCTGCCTCTTAATCCAAGTCCTGAGAGCCTACCGAGCTTGCTTTCTTGCCTTTGTGACTTATGTCCCTTCTGTGTTTTTGAAAAGCATTAGTCACAGCAAACCTTCAGTGTTGGTCGACCCACTTTGGGGTCTCTTGGTGCCATTATTGTTCATACCTACAGGATGGTCAGACAGTGTGGCCACACTTTTTAATCAAGCCCCAAGCCACAGGTTCACCCCAGCCTTGCTCATGAGTGCTTGGCTCCTGTGAAGTGTCCCCAGGCTCTGATCTCAGTATCATCCTGTGTGTGCAGTTTGTCTAATTCTTTGACTTGAAAACTCACATATCTTAAGTAAGCCCAGGCGGGCTGGGTGCAGACCGCACAGGTTGACTTCCGTACTTTCTTTCTTAGGACAGCCAGTGAGAGAGCCCTTCTCAGGAAGGAGGAGTCCACTTTCCCTGGCCAACGTCCTCAGTGTCCCCAGACCTCACATCCCTTTCCTCCTGTGACCTCCTCTGTGAGGCTGGCAAACCTAGTCATGGTCAGCATTTCAGTTCTGGCTTTTGTGATGGTTTTGAGTTTTATTTTCCAAGATCTTGATTTCTGGTAACTTCTAAGCCCAGTGCGTTACTACAAAGAGGATCATACAGGAAAGCCCGACTCCATTTCTTTGCTGCTGTTAAGGAACCGAGAGCTCCATTAAACAGCCTCCTCCTTGCCCATCTGGGTGGGGCAGTGACGGAGGAGCAGGGGGTTCTCACTGTAACTCGGGATGCTTCTCTGGAGGCTTCTCTGTGGTCTGACCGCTCTCTGTGGGTTGCTTGGTGCCTGTGAGGTCTCCAGACGCTACCAGCGTGTGTTTGTGCTGAGGTCTAGTTTGTAATGGAATTGAGGGTGCTCATCCTCTCACCCCACAGAGCTGCCTTTCTCTGTTTGACAGTGGAAAGATGATCCAAATTATATGTATTTGGACTTTCTGGCCTTATTTTCTGCCAAGTAGAGCCTTTTGGTTAGCCGTTGCGTTGGCCCTCGGCTTGGGGTGCAGGAAGCTTCTAAGTGACCCTCTGTTCAGACATGACACCACAGGCCCTGGGGCCTGGCCTCAGCCTCCTTGTAGCTTGGTAGTGCTCTGCATCCACTCCTGAGCCACGAGCCTCACCTGAATGCGATCACCTCCCTGGGACGCCCTCACGCAGTGGCGCCTGCTGTGGCTGCCACCCCTTCCCTGCTTCTCACCCCTGCCTGTCTCAGCCTTTCCCCAGATGTCCCCTCCCTGCTCCACTTGCCTTTAATGCTTGGTCCCTGGGGCACTTACCCAAAGGGAAGATGCATGTGGGTTTCTCTCTTCTCCACTTGTCTGTGTTTCCTGAAGGCAGGAACTCTGTCTGGGGAACTCTGACTGGGGTTTCTCCTTGTCCCCATAGCACCCTGAACTAAAGGGGCCAAAGGTGGGTTAGAGATAAAGGAAATACGGGGCTCGGCAGGTGGACAGCCTGGTGTTAGCTGTTGATTTGATTTTTGCAATGGGCATTGCCAGCATGAGTGTAGGGGACCCCAGGGGCGAGGTTTGTGTCCCAGGACCTGCAGGGACATTTGGGCATGAGCATTGGACTTGCCATTGTGAGAGCACCTGTGGTTTCCTGCTGGCTCATGGCTCTTAAGCTGGACAAGAAACTTCTAAATTCTGGGGAGGAAAAAAACCACATTTAGAAACCACCCTGGGCTTGGCATTGTGGATAAGAATAAACAGCCTGTGATCTCTGGTATGTTCAGTTTTACCATCAGAAACCAAATACATGCACTTTTTTTCTTAGAAAATGTAAAAATCCTAATAATGCTTCTAAAGTTAAGAGGTGGCTCATTCAGTGGTAACATCTGCTTGTTCATCTGACATGGTGAACACACAACTCACTAGCTCAGTGACTTGACGATTCTTTGTGCAAAAATTCAGCAAGTAGGTAAATATGTAAATTCAAAACAAAACTCTGCCCAACATGTCTCCTTAGAAAACAATTAAAAGGACTTGGCAGGTCACACCTGTGATTTTAGCTGGTGGGTGATTGAAAGACCATTGCCAACATGAGAACTTAAAGGGGCAGTTTCAGGAGGTGCTGGCCCTGCGTCCTCCTCTGTAATACACCGTGGCTCCCTCTGCATCTGGCTGTGGAAAGTGGATGCAGAGCCCTCTTACTTTAATAAGGTCAAGTTCAGCAGTGCCAGACTCATAACCTGGCACTGCAGATGTGTTTCAGAGTAGAGCAATGCAGGGCTGCAGCTGTGATCTGAGACTTTCTTAAACAGAAGGTGCCAACCACTGGAAAATGAAATGTTGGGTTAGAAGTAATAATTACTATTTGAACAAATATTCAAATCCCAAGACTTTGGTCTTAGTGTAATTCTGTACCAGTTCCATAGGGGAGACCATCACTGGCTCAGCGTGTACTGTGTCTTTTGCATGTGCGATTTCATTTCCTCCTCCCCACTCCATGGGGAATTTCTACAGTTCCCCACTTTAAGAACTGTTAAGGCACTTGCCTGGTGTCTCGGCTGATGCAGGGAGAACAGGGTCTGCCCGACTTCCCGGCGGTGCTGCTGCTGCTGTGGCATGGACCATACTTCCTGCCTTCCCTGCAGAAGGAGGGTGTGGACTAACTGTGCTTCCTACCCGGTGACAAGAGCAGTGGTGAAAAGCTTCAGGTGTCTCCGTGGATACTAGTTTAGAACAATGCCCGGGCGCTTGCAGTGCCACGAGGGAGCTGCAAAACATCACCTCACTGTGGCGACTCTGATAATCTCCCGCTGATTAATGACTTGGATTGACAGTTACAAATGTTCGCCCTCAATGACTGCCTTGCTTGCACAGTCTTTTCAAGCTTGCTGCCATGGGAGCACACCTAATCCATGTGGTCCCCGGGGAGAACAAGCTCACCTGCTTTTAGTCTAGGACAGTAGAGTACATTCACAAGTCCAGGTGGCCCTTTGGTGGTCACCCAGTTTCCTTGTCCCCTTGACACAGCTGCATCAGCCCCTCCTTCCCACATCCAGTAGAGGGAAGGCGTCCTTCTTAACCACCTGAGCTGCGGGTGTTACAGGTGTGCGTCACTGTGCCTGGCTCTAATCTGATTTTAATGGTGGGCTCCTTCAGTCTCTCCTACTGATGTTTAGAAGAGAAATGATGAGGAAATTGGGAGCAGCTGCCTCCTCCCTCTCCCAAGGGCTCTCTTCTTTTCCCCTGAACACAATATCATTTGTGTTAAAAGTTGCAGAATTCTGGCAGTGAGCAGTAATAATGCATCAGATCACGATCCCTTACACCCGTGTTACCTGTTGCAGGGCTTTTGTCTCACACATTTCATCTTAGCCAGCACAACGTGGCACTTTGAGCTCCATTTGAGGGTCAAGTCGATACGCATGGAGCAATTAGGTGAACTGACTTCCTCAGTCCTGGGAGCAAAGCTCCTTCTGTCTGCTGCCCAGGGCTCTTCCCAGTCTTCTAGCAAAGCTCTGGCAATTGGAGTCAGAAAAAAAGAGCAGTCAAGTCCTGTCTGTGTGCCATGTCCCAGTATACAGTGATTACCAGAAGCAGCCCTTGGACAGGAGAGGCCCTTCAGAACACTTTGGGCCTCTGCAGCCTGAGGCAGCCCCATGCTTCAGCAACTGGGCTTAGCCTGGAGCTGCTGAGAGGATGCACACTTGGGGCCATTGGTGTAACCCCTCCTGGCCTGTCACCTGCATGTGGCCTGGTGCCGAAAGGGGGCTGCAATTGGACAGGGCCTCACCCCCATGCCTACCCTGTGAGGTAAAGCAGATGAGTGAGGTTTCTATAGCCAATTTCATTAAGATGTTTCCACAAAATACATCAACCCGTACTGTCACATGCTGCCTCTAAAGAGGTGAATGGGGACGCTGGCCGTGGGAAGGGGAACCCTCTTGGCAGGTAGAGGGGAGGCAGGTAAGTGAGCTTGGTGACCCAAAATGCAGCCAGACTCGGAGGCCAGGGAGTGAGCATAGTGTCCAGGTGGGATGCCCTGAGGAGAGCTGGTGTGGTCACTTGTTAGAGGCCACAGGCTCATGGTGTCCCTTGCTTGTTGAGAGCACCATGGGTGCTCCGTGACATGATGCAGGGCCCTTGCTATTGTTACCGCTGTTTATACCAGAGAAGCTCGCCCAGGCAAGTGTAGAGTGGAAAGTAGAAGCTTTATTAAAGGACAGCAGAAAGGACTTCTCCCTAAGGAAGAAGGGGACCCAAAAGGTGGAATCCGTGGAAGGGCGAGGTCTTCCCTTTTTTATAGCTAAGGTCTTCTTTCAGCTTTCCCGTCTTGCAGTGTTGGAATGTAGGTGGGAAGGCCCAAAAGGTGGGAAACAGGTGGGCTGAAGGAGTAATCTGGGCAGGAAGGGCCTGGGGCGGGTTTGGGGTTTTGGGGTTGCTTCTGATTAGCATCTCCCTGTTTGCTGGGAGCTGCTTCATTAACATTTCTTTAGAAAGGGCTCTGGGCCTTGGGAACATTAACATTGCAATTTCCCCAAGTGCTGCTCTGCTTTCCGGGGCTTCATTCTCGATTTTACTCGATATTAGACCCGATTTACCTAACTACACTAATTTCCTATCTTTAAATCTGGCTTCAAGCCCACAAGCAAGTGTGTCCACCAGAATGACGTTATCTCCACCAGGAGATGGAGATTCTGTCCACAGGCTGAGGTTCTTGAGTTCATTCAGCTAAAACCACAAAGGGCTGTAGGTTTTAAGAAAGTCTCCAGGATAATCCTATCTTTTTAAAATTTTTTTATTTTTATTTTTTAGTTGTAGTTGGACACAATACCTTTATTTTATTTATTTTTATGTGGTGCTGAGGATCGAACCCAGGGCCTCGCACTTGCTAGGCGACCACTGAGCCACAACCCCATCCCCAAGGATAATCCCATCTTAAAGCACATATTAAAGAATCACTGTTTCAGTGACGCCTTTAGCCATATGCAGAGGTAAAGGAGCTTTACACCAGAACTGCTACATATATTTACTTTTATCTTAAAAAATGAGACCTGTGTTAGTCAACTGTGGCCAGCAATCACTGTGGCCAACATACCTAGTACAGGCAACTTAAAGGAGGAGAAGTTTCTTTTGGCTCATGGTGTGAGTCCACAGTCAGTTGGCTCATTGCTCCAGGCCTGAGTTAAGGCTTAGCACTACGGAGGAAGAAAGTCCATGGCAGCCAGGAAGCAGAGAAAGAAAGAAGGAGGAAGAGGCCTTGGATGGATGTAGTCCACCCTAGTGACCTACTTCCTCTAAGAACACTCCACCTGCCAATAGCTACCACCCAATAGTCCATTGAAATCATTAACCCATCAAGTGGATTAATCCCCTGTTGGAGTCTGAGCCCTCCTAATCCAATTATTTCCCTAAAGCCCAGTCTCTTGGTACCTCTGCAGTGGGAACCAAGCCTTCAACCTGTCAGCCTTTAGGGGACATTCTAGATCCAGCTACAACAGGCCTTAAGCTTTATGGATTGCCACTGGTGCTTAATATAGTGAGGTCCATGTCACATTGTGGTTTTCTTTTCAAGTAAAGAGACACCCGATAGGTAGCTCCAGGTTGTGGTTTCTGCAAGAACAGGGTCCCTTTTAGGTCATCCACTGTCATACCTGCCGTGCCCCAGGCAGTGCAGGGCACACAGTAGTGCTGGGCAGGGCGTTTAGTTAAGCAGCAGGACTGAGTTTCCACGAGGACCCTCCTAGGTACCTTAGGCAGGCTGTGGGGTTTCTAGTCTCCAGTAATTGTCTGCAATTTTATTTGCAGCTCAAAAGCCACCAGTTGAAATAAGTCACTTCTCCGCCTAATTGGGCTTCAGTAGTCTTTGTATTTGAAAATCTGGTTTGGACCTGCCCTGTAGACACTGTAGAACTTGGGAAACACTCCACCGACTTGGGAAATTTCCCTTGTAGGCCACACTGGAGGAACAATGATATCTGTCCTTCCCTTGCTCTAGAGTGGAGCTGGGGTTGGGTCCACAGAGGACAGGTACAGGTTTAGTTCCAAGATGTCATTAGGACATGTCGTTACCTGTGCTGCATGTGAGAGTTACAGAGAAAACCATCACCCCAAATGCACATGCTCTCTCATCTAAAAACTCAGGGCACAGTGTTCAGATCTGCCCAAAGCTAAAAACCTGTGCCTGGTCACACCATTTCAGTTCCTTGGGGGTTCCCTCAGATTCCCTAATGGAGAAAATCCCTGCCAGCAAGAAGAACACTGATTTCTGCCAGCAGCTGAGCTGCGCCTCCCTGTTGGCTGTATCAGTAGTCTCTGGTCATTGGGCATTGCCAAAATCAGGCAGGGTCTTGTTCCGTGCCCCACCCTGGCTGGCCTAGTTCTTTCCAGTCATGTCTGAAGCACTGATCCACTTTGTGTTTCTTTTGCAGAGTTGGGTTACAGAAACTCCTATGAAATCGAATATATGGAAAAACTTGGCTCCTCCTTACCCGTAAGTTCTTCCTCACTGCCCTTTGTTGGGGACATGCAGGCCGAGACCTCTCCTGGGCAGAGTGTCTCTGGAGCTCAGAACCCAAGTGGGGCCCCCTGTGTCCCAGCATTCTGGGGGCACGCTGCTGGTGAAGGTGGGCAAAGTGCCCTAAGCGGTTTTCTACAAATTACAGTTGGCCCTCCCTATCCATGGGTCATATCAGCTGTAGATCAAAAAATGCTCTTTAAAAACAGTAGGCTGGGGATGTAGCTCAGTGGTAGAGCACTTGCCTGGCATGCATGAGGCCCTTGGTTCACCCCCAGCACCATCAAAAACAAAAACACCCAAATGCAACTGTTTTGAACAAATATAGACTCATTTTCTTGTCATTAGTCCTTAAATAATACAGTATAATAATTTCTTTTATAAGTAATCTAGGGCTGATTTAAAATATATGGGAATATGTGGTGGCTACATGCAAATACCATGCCATTTTATATAAAAGACTTGGGTATCCAAAGGGCTCTTGAACAAATCCCCAGTGGATGTTGAGGGACAATGGTAAGTAACCCCCCTTTTTATTTTAAGAGGCTATAAGGCCCCCTCCCCCTTTTCACTTTGACTGGTTGTGGTCGGCCGCTGTCTTCCCGGCTTAAGTGTTGGTTCTACCCGTGGCCTCTTTCCTTGCTGTTGGCCAGCCATGTCCTCAGAGCCCCAGCGTGTGCGGGAGGGCTCGCTACAGCCCTGAATGGCCCTGGACGGTTGCTCTTATCTGTTCTTCCCATGCGTCCTTCACAGATGCTGGGGTTACTGCTTCTAAACTGCAGCGGACCAGAAGGTCAGGCAGGAAACGTCAGGACACAGAGGGAAGTCACGGCTCCCTGAGGATGGCGCATCATGGGCTTTGTTGTGATCTCTTGATGCATTGCTCAGAGAGTGGCCGCTTCCCCCTGAGACCACAGCTGTGTCCCTGATAGTTGACACCACATGCATAATACGACACTTGGCCACTGAAGTGGAACAGTCCCGTGTTTTGATGTCATTGATTTAATGGGACTAAACCACAGAGTCCCTTCTTGTCCACCGCCTGCTGACTCGGGCATTGGCAGGCTTCGAGGATGAAGTTCACGAGACGTGTGCTCTGCCAGGAATCAGAGCCACCAGAGGTTTCTGTGATGTGATGGCGCATGCCCACTAGTCCTTGTTTGCGCTTCTTTGGGGACCCCAGCAGGGAGGATGTAAGGTCTCCCCATCCCCAAAAGATGCAAGTCCCCATTCCTGGACATGGCATTCAAAGCCTGGGGGGTCTGATAATGGCCCCCAGCCTCTCATTTCCTCCCCCTTAGCTCCACACTGTACGCCCCCATGAAGAGTCCAGCCGAACCCCTCCACAGGCCCTGAATGTGCCTGGTCTCTCAGCCTGCGCCACGCTCTCTGTTCATGCCCTGTCCACCCCTGCCCCCGAGAGGAGCCCCCTCTTTTCAGGTTGAACCCATTGCTCTGTCTCTTTCCGATGCCTTAGTGGCAGGGCTCATCACACTGGGTCATATTGCTGGTGTCCTGCATTCAGCTGTGATCTTGCCTTACCCCTCTGTTCATCCTCAGGGGCCAGCGTGAGGGTGGCCAGTAAATGAGTTGAACACAGTGTGGCCCAGTAGGACCATCCAGATCTTCCTTCCTTCGCACACATTCCCACTTGCGCGGGTCCCGCACCCCCCTCTTCCTCCCCTTCCCTTCCTGGCCCAGTGAGTCAGAGCTCCCCTGAGTTATTTGCTCTGCCTTGAGGAGCGCTCTGGTTTTTCATCTTCCCAAGCTAATGTGTGACTTTGATCCCTGCAGCAGGACGATGACACCCCGAAGAAGCAATCCTTGTACCTTATGTTCGACACGTCTCAGGAGAGCCCCGTTAAGTCTCCGACCCGGATGTCCGAGTCCCCGACGCCTTGTTCAGGGTACGACTTCCACTGTGACAGTTACCAACAGGCCTGAAGCCCCGAGCACCCGCATGCCGTGGCCCTGATGTCACAGGCAGCCCACGTTCCAGGCTCTGTTCGCACAGACAGAGGCATTGCTCTTGTTACTGGGGCCCTTTGAACTAAGGTGAAACCCTTCAACAGCTGACAGCATGAACCCCCACCGTCCCCACAATCCACACGCAACTTTGTCATTTATCCAATCAATGGTGGAAGGCACTCAGAACCCGAGTCCCACTTCCACCCCTAAAGGCAGTGTGACCTGATGTGACTCACTTATCCCACGTGTGCCTCAGTTTCCTTGAGTGTGATGTAATAGACTGACCACGCAGGGATAGAGGAAGATTTGAGAGGCCCCAGCACCTCCCTAAGCTGTGCAAGGGGCACGGGGTCACTGGATTCCCATCAGTGCTGTGTGGAAAGCTCTTGCCAGGCTGTCTGGCCCCCGCAACGTGCTGGATACATGTATGTTATCGACATGGATGTGGCTCGTGTCCTGAACAGCGTCATGTTTGATGGGGGAGGTGTGGGAGTGCTTTAAGATTCAGATGGTCCCACATTTGTCTGCCTGCTCTTCTTTGATTTCTCAAACTTACGGACCAGAATCTGCCCGGGAGGTGAGATGGTGATGGTATACAGCAGAGGTCGCACCACATGGGAGGTCCACACGGTACCTCATCTCATCCTCACATAGGTACTTGTCTCTGCTTATAGGAAAGGAAGCCGGGATATGGTGTCTTCCCTCCCCCAGAGTACACAGCCAAGCAACAGGCCATCTGCTTGATCCTAGAGCTTGTGTCCCCAGTGGCATCTGGCTCTGTCCCAGGTACTACTGGAGACACAGCTCTGGAGCTCCAAGATGGCTTGGGATGTTGCCTGGTTCAGGGCATCCTGGCTGATTTCAGTGGGATTTCCAAGGAGAAGACTCTAAAGATGCCCTTTGCTTCCACAGGTCAAGTTTTGAAGAGACAGAAGCCCTTGTTAATGCTGCAGCAAAAATCCAGCGTCCTGTCTCACGAGGGCTAGCCTCCAGCCAAGAGCCACACTTACAGGTGCCAGAGAAGTCCTCTCAGCCAGAACTGGAGGCCATGGCCCTGGGCACCTCCTCAGAGGCGATTGAAATCGTAAGTACAGGCAGGGGCCCCAGAGTGAGATCACAGGGGACCAGGCCAGGGCCTGCTGGGTGCCATCAAGCTCAGCTGGCACCTGCTGTGGCCCCACCCTGACCCCCAGACCACAGGAGCCAGCCTGGGAGACCCCACAGCATCACACCGAGGGAAGGACTCCTCTCCTACATGGCTTCGCAGTTCTCACCTGGGTGCTTTATCTGCCCCCAGGGTTATTTTTTTTCCGTTTTTCTCCCCTTGGGACTGGACTATGCTTTGGGGCCACCACTGGCCAGTACTCTGCCTCTGCAGCTTGATGGCAGATCCGAGAGTGGCAGAGCAGGGGACACCCTCCTTTTGGAGCTCAGGTGGTTTTCCTGGGTCCCGCTGATGGGAATTTCTCTTCCCCTCCCCCAGCCCATTCCCTGATGTCACATGCACATGGGGCTCTGGGGTTCCCTAGAGTATGTGATGCATGTGTGATGGTCTCCACGCATCTTCATGGACCATTCCCCTAGGCAAATTTTATTTCTTTACTTCCTTCCTAGCAATCCCCAATGTTTTTGAAGCCACTGATGTAGTGTGTTATTTTTGGTCTGCCTTAGGAGACTTCATTTATCTCACATAGCAAACATTTATTGAGCACCTACCATGCGTGTATGTGCCAGTTGGAGGCTGGGTGGAATATTGGAAACATACTAATGGGCAAAACGAGATCTGGATGTTAATTGGCCTCTCAGATCAATGCTGTGGAGGACTCGTCCACCATTCACTTTCTGCAAAGTTGGCTTCTGATTTTGAAGGCTTTTTGATCTACCAGGAGACACTTTTTTTCCTTTTGAAATCATCTTTCCATTGTTTAGAAAATCGCCTTTACCAAAACCTTACTTTCTCTGGTGTTTATGCTTGGAGCTCTTTCCTTGTTGAGTGAGGTCAGGTTTTGAAAACCCATCACCTAGCTTCTGCCTCCCACCACTGAGATTTCCAAGCACAGAAGCAAATGGTAACTTGGCTTCAGCCTCTGGCCAGGGAGTAAGGGTGGGGAGAGCACAGGAGGCTGTGCTTTTGGGGAGTGGGGTGGGCCTGCCAGTGTCAAGGTGTCCACTGTCAGCATGTGGGTGAGGATTGGCAGCTCCTGGATGCTCCCTTTAGCCTGAAGGCAGAAATGTCATGCAGACAGATATGTGGTCCATCAATGTCACTCTCTGCTCTCCTCCTTTTTCCTTCTCGTCCTCTCCGCCGCTCAGACAGCTCCTGAGGCTGCCTTTGCCTCTGCTGACGCCCTTCTCAGCAGGCTGGCCCACCCCGCCTCTCTCTGTGGTGCACTTGACTATCTGGAACCCGACTTAGCAGAAAAGAACCCCCCAGTATTTGCTCAGAAACTTCAGGTTTGTAGCCAATGTGTGACCTTTTGGAAGTTTGTCAAAACCTCAGTAGAGAATGAACCCCCGAGCCCCAGATGAACTGAGGCCGGATATACTGAGGAGTTGCTGAGAATGTTCCAGATGAAACATCTTCCCCTCAGGCACTGATATGTGGTGTGCTTTATCCAGTATGCCAAAATTATACAAATTATTCAATTACATATTGAAGGAACCATTTCCATTTCAGTTTGGAAACTGGACCGAAACAGTCATTTTTCAGATGTATTGATAACCCCAACAGCAGTGTCTGTGATTCATTCACCAAACCAAAGGTATGAGGTCACCATCAAGCCTGGTTGTTTATGTGGACTAGGCGATCTCAGAATCCTGTTGAGATAACATCTAGACTCAGTCTTGCATCTGGAACCAAAACGATTATCTACTCTGCACTTTTACATTTGACAGCTTAATTTGATATCCCCTAGACTAGAACTTTGAAAGGAAATCTAGAGAGACGGCTCACAGTCATTTGACAGATGCACATTCATTCATGGAAAGTGTTGGCCAACTTCACTTTAAAAAGGAAAAAAAAAATCAAAGACTGTATATAGTACAGTAAAAATTTGGATCCGTTTCATGTTTGCATAGGTTCTCTGTAGAGACTTAAAAGGACAATATTTTTAAAAAAGGAAATTAAACATGGTTTCATGATCTGCTGAGGTGCTTATTGTGAGAAAGCCAAGCGTGTGTCTTTCCCGAGTACCTGTCATGACGCATTTACATGGCACATTCATTTCTTGGGTGCGGAAAACATTACATCTGTCTTGATACGTTTCCCCTGCGGTCTGCTCATACCCTACCCCTTGGGCAGGAGGAGTTAGAGTTTGCCATCATGCGGATAGAAGCCCTGAAGCTGGCCAGGCAGATTGCCTTAGCTTCCCGCAGCCGCCAGGACACGAAGGTACTGGTTTGCGGCTGCAGTGCGCTGCCCTCTGAGAATGCTGTGTGTGTCACCGTGGGCCAGCGCCTGCTTTGCTAACCGTCGGTCAGGCAGGCGTTGTGGGTGCCCGGCCAAGTGTGATTTCCAAAAAGCTAAAAGTGTAACTCTTGCATAAACACGCTGAGCACATGTCTAAGATCTGCTTAACTCAAGAATGCGTTCGCCAGCAGATGGTGCTGGCTAGGTGGGGAGACTCAGAGAAGCCAGTATGTGGTGTGTGTATGTGTGTGTGTTTGTGTGTGTGTGTGCAGGGGGGAGGGGAGGGGCATGAAGAAGGCTGGAAGAGTGGCAGAGTTGATATCAAACCAGAGAATCCTGGTTTGGATGAAAAAATCATTACCTTTTGAGACTGTCATTTTTTTTCCCCTACAGATAATGTATGCTTCTCTATGGAACAAAAATCATTTGCAACGGTTTTGTTTCCTACAAGTTGACATCGAACTTACTGAGAAAAGCAGTACGTAGGAAGTAGCTAACCACTTTAAAATGAACAATTCAGTAACATTTAGGATATCCATGATGTTATGCAAACACCACCTCTGTGTGCGGAGGCGCTGGACCATGTGCTGACGCGGGGTTAGCGGCAGTCCTTTTGGTAAAGGGCTTGCAGAAATAGTGCAGATTTGCAGGGCCCGCACACGGCCTCTGCCTGACAGTGCCTGTGCAGAGATGGCCAAGGAACTGTACCTATTTGTTTGTTTGTTTTAATTTTAATTTTGAGTGTGACCGCGACAGGGCATGTGGAAATCTTTCAGACTGGCTTCCAGGCTTGGGGTGAGTTTTCTTGATGGTTAGAAGTCAATGCTGATGACGGACAGGCAGTGTGTCGCCCCAGGTTGCTGTCGAGCTGTGGTCTCTCAGCGTTGGCCTCGTCCCACCCCTTTTTACTACCCAAAGTTGGGCAGCCTGGTGGACATGGTGTGTGACACTGGAGCTGGACCCCACTTGTATTCTGTGGCTTTGAATGAGTTAGTGAACCTCTCTGGGCCTCGTTTTTCCACCTGTGCATCGAGGCTCATCACGGCAGGTTTGTTGGTGCAGTGAGGGCTCCAGATGGTGTATGGGGAGCAGCCCCTGCCTGGCACATAGTAGGTGTGCAAGAAAAGGAAGATGCTGTGTTGGCCAGCACCCCACTTTTGCCTCTTACCTGGTCAGATGTTCCCAGCGTTTCCTCAGGAAGCAGGTCCAGGTCTTGTTTTACAAGTAGGAAACCGAGTCACATGGTGATACGGGAATTTCAGCAGCTGCTCCTGCCTGTAAGACCCCACCTGGGTCTCTCTGGCTGCAGCCAAGAGGAAAACCCCTTCCAGAGACAGGAGGTGGTCCCACAGTGGGCGTCCAGACTGAGAACAGTGGACATAGGGCAGAGACAAGAATGTAAAAAGAGATCAGTGGTTGTTCTTGTTGCCAAATCAAAAACTTAGGTGGAATGTCCATGAAAGTCGGAGTTTTAGAAAGCTGTCAGCAATGAGGGATTTCTTCCTTCACTGCGTTGGTTTCTTGGTGTCCTGTAGGAATGGCTTAACTGGTGGATTCCTCTCGGGGGATGTTTGGTGCCTAGCCAAGCATGCTCCTCTAAGTAGTTCAGGTCTGCATGGAGTCTGGTGGGGTCCCCTCCTCCCTGGTCAGGCAGAAGGCAGTCCTCGGCAATAGGCAAGTAGCGGTCAGCTTCCTGTCAGTTACAGCCTGTTCTCAGACATGTGTCTCCATTTTGATTTAATAGTGTTTCCTGGATCCACCGAGTGTGGGCCAGAGAGGCGCCCAAGCCACCTCCTTAGGTGTTTCAGAAGCCTGTGCTAAAAGGAATATTCTATCAGGGGAACTGTCTTACCTGTAAGGAGCACTTCTCTCTACAGGGGTAACTTGTATTGCTCTTGGTCAGGACGTCCTCTGGGGACTGTGGCCTGTAGAAACAGTGACTCCAGGAGGTACACCCTGCAGGCTCCTGTTTGTCATGTAGAAGCTTGATGGCCCCTTGCTGTCCTCTGCATTGGAACCTGCTGGCAGACAGACAAAAAAGCTCTTCTTTCTGCCCTTGTGCTTCAGCTGCAGGCAACATGGCCCTGAGGTTTTACAGCATGGTCTTGAGCTGCTATCAACACAAAGATGAGTTCTTGTGGAATAAGGCTGTCTTGTTGAGAGGAAAGAATGGGAAGGGCTCTGGTTGTTCCTCAGAGCAGCTTCAAGGGACGTTTCTCTTAGACTGACAGAGCTGAGTTGCCCCTCTGAACTACAGCGAGGGATGCTCTCTGGTTAGAAAACGTTACAGATGAGGAAAAGTCCGTGGGAGCCGGGGTGTCAGGCTGCAGCCTCGGTATCAGACTCCTCCCACGTGCTTCTGGTGACCGAATCGAGTTTGTCCCCTGAAGCTGACCAAGGTGGCTGGATCTGCCATGCAGCAACTCCAAGCTTAACACTGAGCTACATTGAGGGGAACTGATACAGATTGAGGGGACCTGCCACGTCCTGTCTTTGTGGCTTTCCAAGGGGTGCCAGGCAGGTGCACATTGATTTAATTCATTTGTGTGACATTCTGGTTGTGATTTCTGGAGCTACTGGGCTTTCTCAGTGAGGGGGACCCATGATAAAAACTGAAGGATGCTTCTGGTAGCACAGGAACAAGGTCACGTGAATGGCGAGCAGGTGCCAGCAGTGGCTCCCACGGGGAGGGGAATTGGCCTGTTGATGTCACGCCGTGTCTGACGTCTCCCAGAGTCATGGCTTAGGCCAACAGGTGCCTGGATTTTCCATGAGCTGAGCAGGAGTTGGGCTGGGGCAGCCGTATTGCTGGTGGGCAGCCTGTTTGCTCTGAGGCACACACACCTCCCCTCCCACCACCATTTGGCAGAGGGCTGAGGAGGGAGTTGTGTCCCGAGCCTTGAGAACAGTCTGAGGAGGAGCTAGCAGAGAACTTGCAGGTGCTGCCTCTACCTGGTGCAATAAAGATGGAAGGCGAGTCTTGGCTTGGTGGCCGGCGTGGCCACCTGGTGCCTGATGGTGCCGTCTGTGGAGTGGGACAATGGTGTGGGATGATGTCCACCCTGTTTGCCACTCCAGGGCTTAGGAACTGTCTGCCATCAGTATTGGATGGGACAGCTCCCAGCTGAGGCCACTCTCCTGCCTGGATAGGACCAGACACTCCTGAACACTCAGGCGGGGTCCACACTCCATGGCCTTAGCTCTGTGTGCAGGTCCTTGACCCCTGGTCCTCACCCCTGCAGGCCCTCCTCACCACAGCTCTCTGAGCTTTCTGTCTGTCCTCCCACAATCAGCCTCCAAGTGTTCTGGGGACAGGGATCCTGCCACAGTCCAAGCCCTGAGGCCTGACAACGGGGAACTGGCCTCAGGGAGGACCGTGAGCCTGGGTAAGTGGCTTCAAGACCAGAAGGACCCTGGCAAGAGGCCTGTAGGTCTGTAGCAGGAGACAGTGGCCTGGGGGGTCACACAGGACCCCGGACTTGAGGAGTGGATTGATGGCTGAGGTTGGTTGCAAGGACTGGTGCCTTCTGAGTCCTGGCCCTTCACGTCTCAATTTGTGATTTCTAGTGGCTTTTGTCCCTCTAAAGTAGCAGGTGGGAAATTATGTGAGAGAAGCAAAACTTCATCTAAAAATATCCGATCTTGAAATATCAGTGAGAGACAGACCTTTGAATTTCAGTTGAAAACAATTCTTAGTTGTAAGGAGAAGCCAGGGTGTGGAAGATGAGTTTCACTATACAGACAGGTGCTGATGCAGGGCAGTAATTCACACGCGTCCTGAAGTCCTCTGTTCCTTTATTGAGAGGACCAGGTGCCATCAAAAAGGTGACAGGGACTCACTCTGTGGTCATTATCTCTTCGGTGTTGTTATGTATTTTTCATTCCCCTCTTTGTTTCACAGAGGACTTTGGGCAGCTTAGGGTCATTAATCCCTTCCTGGGTCCTATTTAGCTCCTGCTCAGTGTAATAAAGTTAATTTTCACTGTGTTCATTTTCTCCTGCATTTCGAGGAGCTGGTTTATTTGAGGGTTAGAGCTGAGTGTCATTTTGGGAAATTTTTAAACCAGATCTCTCCAATCCTCATTTTACTTCATCCTCAGAAGGACCAGGATGAGTGTGGCGGTTCTAATGTTCTTTTCATTTTGAAATTTTTTTGTTCTAATTTTTTAAAAGAACACATTTAAAAGTGATTGGAGGGCTGGGGTGTAGCTCCGTGGGAGGGCACTTGCCCGGTGCACACAGAGCCCTGGGTTTGAATCCTAGCGTCTCCCCCCCACCAAAAAAAAAAAAAAAAAATTGTTAAAAACATTAGGAACACTTTTTTTTTCTTTTAAAGACCTCTTTTGAATTTTATGTTTGTGAACTTTCAAGTATGAGTGCTGAGCCTGGAGAAGCTTCCCCTTGCAGGCAGAACTGTAAAAGCCGGTTTCCAGCAGCGGGGATGCAGCCCTCTGGGCAGAGGTGCCACCCTGCAGGCGCTCAGCCTGCCTGCTGCCAGGGCTGTCCACCGTGTCTGATCAGGTGTCATCTTGAGGATCAGAGGCTGAGAAGATCGTGGCCCCCCCATTTGACCTGTGAGCGAGTTTCTGGGGTCTGCTGGGCCAGGGCTGTGTGCTCCTCACTCTGACCAGCTGATCACAGCCCCTCACCTCAGGGTCAGCCCAAGAGCTCAAGGCCAGGCAGGGGCAGTAAGGTCCAGAGGACAGGTGGTCTCATCCAGGACAACCTAAACTCTTGAGTTCACCCTGCATGTGTTCAACTAACTGCCCTGACTCCCCATCTCCAGTCCTATCCATTACACTTCCGCCCGGGTTTTCTGAGCTGTCTCTTTTTTTTCCCCAAGGTCATTTGCCCTGGTGCTGTGGTAGGGTCAGTGTGGCTGTCCTGTGATTAGAGACACTCTACTCGAGTGCCTGCAGGTCCACCCCTTCCTGAGACCGCTGGCCCTTTTATCTTATCTGCTGCCCTTTATAGTCCTCGCCCTTCTTTCCCTAAATCTGTCTTCCTCCTACACCACGGTGCTCTATCTGTTCACTGCCCAGTCCTGTCTTCATGATTTCCTAGGGAAGACACAGCCCCTCTCCACCCTCTTAACCACCATGGGCTCACACTGGACTTAGAACTAGAGTCGAGGTCCCCTTGGCAGCCATAACAGCACCATGAGGTGAATGGATTGGACTGAGAGTGCGGCTGGCTTGCTGCTCTTGTGGTGGTAGAAGTAGGCTGACGAACCTGGCTGTGCTGATTGATGATGCTTCTAACCCTGCATTTCACCCGTGCTGCGGGTTGCCAAGCACTCTGTGCCAAGGGAAGAATAACCATGGCCCGCTTGCTCCTAACCTCCCCTGAAAAGGGTAGAAAGCCTCAGGCCAGTGTCATCTGGTGGGGTGGGGATCATATCAGCAAATGTTGAGATTGCCATTGACCCAGTTGTCCGTTTTCCTGTAGATGCAACAGACTTAACTCCAACATAAACCTTACGCCCAGAGACTCCAGCTTGTTGAAGTTGGCATGGTTGATTGCTACAGCCTTAAATGTGTGAATCGCATCCTTTCAAACGGAACTAAACAGATGCCCCCAAATTCAGATGTGGCCAGTCTTCCAAAAGTGATCAAATCTGCGGTTATACAGAACCAGGAAAACCTAGATTAGAATTCAGTATCATTCATGGGCAAAATTTCATTCTGAAACTGGAGCCTGCTGGATAATGACCTTGGTCTCATGCACTGTGCCTAAAGTGGCTTGGCGTCTGATAAGTGGCAGTGATAGGCCGGCACCAGACCCACTCGACTCCCCATTCTGGGCTGCCAGGGCTTCTGCCATTATCAGCGCTCCGTCTGGCTGCACAGGCCAAAAGATGGATCTCCATCAGTGGTGCCTGGTGTCTCCCCATTCATGAGTCTTTGCATTCTTCATACTTTTGATGTTCTTTGTTTCAAAACCATGCAACCGAGAGGATGGATACGTTTTCTTTGTCCTGTGATGAATGTTAACTGGGTTGTTTTTTTTTTTCCCCAAAATGAAAAACCGTTCCACAGAGAGAAGCTGCTCACCCACCAGATGTCTCCATCTCCAAAACAGCCTTGTATTCCCGCATCGGGACTGCTGAGGTGGAGAAGCCGGCGGGCCTTCTGTTCCAGCAGCCAGACCTGGACTCTGCGCTCCAGGTGGCCAGAGCAGAGGTACAGTGGCACAGCGAAGAGAAGGGCCACTCGGGTTGCCCTGGGAAGGATGTGGTGTCTTGTAAATTAGATGCACACCCGGGAAGCCTGTGTCTTTGGAGTCAGCCTTTCTCCTTGGAGCACTGCTGGCAAAGATACGTGGCGGCCTGTGGGCCTTGATCTTCCTTAGAAGTCATGTCCGTGGGCTCGGAGGGCTTTGTCTGTTTGTAACAGAAAGCACGCCCCTTTCCTTTGCTTCCCAGTGGGCTCTGGGAAAGTAGTGTCTGGCTTACTTCTCCCTCGTGTTTGGGGAAGTTCTCTGACTGCAATTATGATTTGGCATAGGAAGTGTTAATGGCACATTTATTTGATGTCTCTTTGATTTGGTCAAATCCAAATCCACACATTTGGGCTTAACCCTCCTCTTCCTCCTGATTCTAGGTCCTAACCAAGGAGAGAGAGGTCTCGGAGTGGAAAGAGAAATATGAAGAAAGCAGACGGGAGGTGATGGAGATGAGGTCAGTGGTGGAGCCCAACAGTGTCTCTTGGAGAAGTCCTCTTTTCTTTATTGTGCAAGGCTCATGCTTTTATGAGTATTTTTAGTGTAAAGTAGTATTTTTAGTTAAAGAATGGAGTAAAGGGGCTGGGGATGTGGCTCAAGCGGTAGCGCGCTCGCCTGTCATGCGTGCAGCCCGGGTTCGATCCTCAGCACCACATACAAACAAAGATGTTGTGCCCGCCGAGAACTAAAAAAATAAATAAATATTAAAAATTTTAAAAAAGAATGGAGTAAAGATATGTACAGTAATAACCCTCTCTTTCCCAGGGTCTCCCTTCCAGTTCCTCCTGATCATTTACTGTCATTTGCCAGGTGTTGTAATAGTACACAGTAGCCACCGTGTACCTAGTAGCAGTGGTGGGAGCTGGCTTGAAATCAGTCGCATTCCTGGCTGCCATTTTAAGCAGCAAGCAAACTTCTTGGGAATTGCACCTGTTTTCTAGATACCAGTAATTTCATCCTGAAACTCTCCTCTTGTGCCTTCTCTGCACCGATGCCCTCCTGTGGTTGGTCTCCTGTGCCCTTCCACAGGCTCACTGAAGCCACACAGCTGCATTATTTTTTAAATTTATTTCTTCTTTTGAGAGGGTTGGGTGGCTCTAGATTTTTAGCTGCTCTGGAAATGAACGGGGTATACTGGGAAGGCTGGAAGGTCTGCCCATGATTTCCTGCCTCCCAAGGAGGTCGTACTAGACAGTGCTGTCCACTCACTGAGGTGGCAGGATTTCAACATGCCACCAGCTGGTACAACTGCACTGGCATTTGATGGCCTGATCATCAGCCTATCGGCCTCTGGAGCTTCACCAGGCGAAAGCAGGCTCCTCTTCCCAGCTGCTTCTAAGCATGTTGCTTAACTCCGCCTTCCCTTCCATCTGTATAATGGGGTAACCACCAGTGCCTTGCTGCAGTGGGACGTAAAGGTGAACCCTTGAATCCTGGAAAGGTTTCTGAGTCTGCAGTGTCCCAGCATCCTCATCAGTAGTGCTAGGAACAGTAGGAGCCCAGTCTCTTGGGTCACTGAGGATAAGATGAAGGTGCAGTGAGCTACAGCACTTTCAGGCCCACTGTCCATCCACACGTCTAAAAAGACGTGGCCCTGGCCACCTGCATGTCATCATCATCAGTGACAGCTTTAGACTCAGCCCCACCACATCTTTGTGATCCTGGATACAAGGAGGTGGCCGTCAATCAGAAAGCATGGAAATGCTTCTGAGTGGGAGTCGGGAAGAATTGAGTGACTTCCCGCTTGGTGGCACGAGGGTGGTCCCCTTATACCAGGGAGCAGGCAGAGCCTGCGTCTGAGAATGACTCAGAGGCAGGTCAGCCAGGCCTGGGCCGCCTGACTCCTGGGCCTTTGTGGCCTGTGTCCTCAGGGTCTTGTCTCTTTGGCCATTAGCAGCTCTTGGGGGAAAATAATTGCTGAATAATGCAGGGAAACTGGCTTTGCCGAGGCTTCCTTGGAGGGAGGGCTGTTTCACACCTCAGTGCTCTCATGGGGAGCCGCGGGCAGGCTAACTAAGGGTTCTCAGTGCTTGGGTGCAGCTGCTGTTTACGGGGCTCCCCAAGAAGTACACCTTGGAGAGTCTGGTCTAGTGGAGGAGATGGACTCGTGTTCTGGGAGGCCAGATGTCTGAGACACAGAGAAAATGTTAGAGGGTTCCCAGGGGAAATCAGAGAAGGTCTCCCAGGGGAGAGACACTGGAGCTGGACCTTGAGAAACAAGCAACAAACGAGTACCCCCTGGGCCTCGAAGAGCCTGGTGTGTGTAGGGGGAGGTGGGGGGCAGGAGGTGGGAGGCAGGAGGCAGGCCTTCTGAGGGTGTGGGCCCAGGTGGCTGCAGGCTGAAGGTGTAGCCTTAGTGGTCAGTGGGGAGTTGAGGGCTTGCAGAGGGCGTGCAGTGTGCAGTCACACACTGGGAAAATGAACCGCTGTGTGTGGCTGAGAGTTGGGGTGGCCCTGCCCAAGGGAGCCCAACCTTGGCAGGTGAGACTTGTCCCACTGATCACGGTCACACTGTCACTGTCCCCCGTGTGGGAGCATCCTGCTGCCGTGGTCCAACGTGCTTTTGCTTGTCTTACAGGAAGATCGTGGCCGAGTACGAAAAGACCATCGCACAGATGATAGGTGAGTGTCCTGACCACCTTGTGGGGCTCGGGCCTGCCGTGAGATTTCCAAGTTCAGGGGAGGCCTTGAGAGTGGAGGCTCAGAACTTGGTGCCCTTCAGGAGGGACCAGAGCACCCAGCGCATGGCTCTGTCCTGGAAACGCCCCCCAGAAGGCGCCCGTGGGAGGCCTGACAGGCCCCTTCTGACCCAGCCAGGAACCACTCGCCTGGTGGAGAGGGAGATTTGGGCTGGCTTCTGCTTGCAAAGCTTGTTTTTTGCTCATGGGAAAGAATAGGAATAGAATCCCTACAGCTAATTAGTTCAGACTTAAATGACTGAATCTGCCTCTCAGCCTTTACACAGGGTCCAGGGCCTGATAAGAACCTGTGGCCATTGCCCACCTGCTTTGCTGCCACACCTCTGGCAGACCCTGATAACTAACCCTGTGCAGGGAGATTGGGTGCTGCATCCTTGGCAGCCGGCACCCACAGACTAGCTTTCAGACTGATGATCACTGTTGAGAAATGACATTCTGACTTTGGGGTCATGATGTTTGTTTAGCTGTCAGTTTATTATTTCCTTTGGTTCATAGCAATCAGTTTTTTAAAAATCTTTTTCTCAAGTGCGGTGATACATGCCTGTAATCCTAGCAAATCAGGGGGCTAAGGCAGGAGGGTCACAAGTTTGAGACAAGCCTGGACAACTTAGAGAGACCCTGTGTCAGAATAAAAATAAAATCATCTAAGGATGTAGCTCAGCAGCAGAGCCCATGGGTCCAATCCCCAGTAACTGCAAAAACTGGGGGGAAAAAAAAAACTCTTTTCTCCTAAGGATATATGTAAAATCTCCAGGTCACTGCCAACCACAGTTTATATATGTTTAAGCTTTACACTAAGCTAGCAAATGAGCCCCCTCTCTCTCAAATGTTTGGATTTGCCAATCACACCCCACCTGTAGCTTGTCCCAAGATAAAGAAAACAGAAGCCTTGGGAATGGTGGAGAGGCACTGTCCAATCAGAGGAGCTCTCATTGTGGTCCTGTAATAAAGACCGTTTGCCCCTACCTCTGGGAGATGCCCCTCAGCTGCCCACTTCTGTATGCTTTCCATCACATGAAATTTCTGTGTTCAATTGTCGTAAGAATTTATGAACACATCTGGATGAGATAGAAACTTCAAAACTCTTGGAATCGACATGCTGGTAAGAGCGGTCAGGGTGAAGGCTTTATGTCCTCAGCTCTGCATGTTCAGAGTATCCTTTGGCCTCTGCAGTCTTGGGAAGAGGGGAGCATCACTTCGACCCATCATGGCTCATCCGGAACATCCCACTACATTCCTGAGTATTTTTGCCCTTGGCAGGGACATACATTTTGGCACATGTAGAAATGGGGGTGAAGGGGCTTGAGGTTTGCTCCTGAGAGAAGGCTGCTCAATGCCAGCTTGGGTGCCCAGCGGGAGAAGCTGATTGAAGCAGGCATTCCCTTTAGAGAACTCAGAGCATGAGACCCTTCCTCATTGATACAAGCCGCCTGGCCATGGGACAGAAAGATTAATTGACTCTCATGCTTTCCTTGCAGAAAGACTGCAGGTGGGAGCATTCAGCATTTTCACCCTGAGATGTGATATAATTCCAGAGTGGCCCTTGGCAGGGGGTGCTGCCCCCTCCCCCCCGCCCCACTCCAGGGATTACAGCCACCTGGTGTGTTTGGCCTGAGGTTCTGTCTCCAAGAGCTGGACTCTTGGAGCATTTTCCTTTTCTTGGGAGAGCTCTCTGGGTGGCTCATGGGACCCCCACAGCATCCATACCAGGGACACACTGTCACCAGGGTGATATCTCGCTGAGTCTACTCCCGTCCTCATTCCCCCCACCACCCATCATCTGCTTTTCCAGAGCTTTCTCATCAGAGGTGGCCTGTCTGTGGTTGTCAGCCTCCAGTCACTGTTGCAGGTCACTGATTAAGGCCACCATATGTTTCAAGGTCCTTGTGTCCTAGTAGAATATAGCAGGAGCCAGAGGCATGACTGGCCGACTGTTGCCGTGGGCGCATGTGCCTCTTTCTGGGAAAAGGAGTCTCTCTGTGTGTGAAACGGGCCCATCAGCCACATCTGGGTTCCATAGTTCTCTTCCAATTCCTGTCACCTAACAGCACCACTCAGGGGAGGGGACACAGGCCCCCTGAGGGCTGGGCAGTCAGTCCAGCACCAGCATGAACAGAAAAGGGTTTTGCCGCTGACTCCAGCTTAGCCCACCTGGGCTGGCTCTTCCTGGCTCTGTGGCTCCGCATGGCCTTCGCCAGCTGTGACATCCATCCTGCTGCCATTGTCCCTCCTCGGCTTACTATGAGAATATGTCTTATTAAATCAGATATTGGCTATCTGGGATTTAGAACAAAAGGAGATTTCTGTGCTTTCTGCATTCCAGGTTGTTGCAATTGTTGTTTTCTGCTTTTCTAACAACTGCCCTGATTATCTGTTTTGCTTCCATTTTCTGTTGCTTCTTGCCCTTTGCTTGCAAAACAAACAGGCAAGCCTGGTAAGTAGACGCTTCCCCCTAACTGGTCCCCTACCCGTTGCAACCCTTGTTTGTGTTTTGTTTTTCCATTTTTGTTCGTTTTGCTTTTGCATATTTGCTGCATTTAATAACATTTTGCCTGAAGAAGCCAGAAAAAATCTTCAAAAGCATCGTTCTGTTGTTGGGTCTGGGGTGTTTCTGGTCTGAGGCTGATTTCCTGATTTTTAAGAACGTAACTGCATTGGTCACATATAAAAAGCTTTGTGCAGTATTCTTGCCGCCTTGGTCTCCTGGGAACTGGGCAATTCTATTTTTGAAAGGGTTAGGTTGGGAGGAAAGGAAACCTAAGGCAGGCAACGTCTTGATCCAGGAAATCAGATAGACTCCATTTGATAAATGACTCCTTTACCCCACAGAGGGAGATTCATATGTGGCCACAAATCAGCAGAGAATAGATGTTTCCCCCTATGCTGAAAACTAAGGAAGAAGCTAAAATTCAAAGAAGAAAAAGAAGCTTTGGGTTGCTAGTGAAACTAAGAAACACCCTTTGTTTTAGGAATGTAGACTTAGCAAGCAGGCTGCTGGTGATTCTGTTGCGTGTTCTGAAGTCACCATGACACTGCCACACAGATTCAGGAGTGACACCGTTACAGGATTCGTTATGGACAGTGACGTTGTTGATAGTGAGTCACTGGTATTGGACTCTTTCTAGGTGTCAAGGGCTTTGTCTGTAGTATCTCATTTAATCCCCCCCGCCCAAATGCTCTGTGATAGAAATGCTATTGTTTCCTATTTCAGGTGAGGTAACTAAGACTCACAAAAGTCAAAAACTGCCCAAGGTCACATAGCTGGGAAGTGTCAGAATTCGAACCTGGGCAGTTAAATTCAGGAGCACCTTGGCCACTGTTCTGTGTAGCTCCAACCTGCTAGTAGCAAGAGTGCTAAGGACCCTTGTGATCACAGAGGCAGGAACAGAGGGGCATTAGGCATCTTCTTGGCCACTGGGGTCCTGGTCCTGCAGCATCTCCATCACTGGGAATCTTGTTACTGATGCAGAGCCCCAGCCCCACTGACACTACCAAACCAGAAAGTCAGGGTGGGCCTCAAAGTCCATGCACAGCCTGATCACATGCAGCTCACACGTGAGAAACATCTTGACTTGGTAGAGCCCTGGGATCCAGAGAGGTCAGGACCCTTCATGTCAGGTTTGGAGCTAAAAATTCAGCCTGTGGCGCCATCACACCACATGCCAAGGGTCCCCTAACTCAAGCCAGATGCAGACTTAGGAGGAAGCTTAGGGACAAAACCCCAAAGCAACCTCCCTGGTATCACAGGAGCTGCGTCCTTCGAGGCCTGGCCCCACAAGAGGCCCACGTAGAACACACTCCCTATCATGGCTCTGGGTTTAGACACAGACTCTGCTGCTTCCTCGGTAACCGAGGGACTTAGGTGTTCACATCCCCATCTCGCCTTCTGTAAAATGGGGACAAGAAAACCTGCACCTGGGTCCTTGTGAGGTTTCACTTGTTCATTCATCGCATGGACTTGCGTGGTGGCATCCTATGTGCCTGGGACAGAGTGGTAGACGAAATCAACCAGCGCCCGCCTGGAGTGTGTTCAGTGGGGACGGAAGCCAGCGCGCACATCTGAACGGGCCCCTGTGTGTGTGCACACAGCTTCTAAAACAATATGGGGGGGCTGCTGCCGTGGGGAGGAAAGGCAAGGGCTAGAGCAGAGCGTGGGGAAGGGCCTTTCCTACACCTTGGCCAGTGACAAGGGTCAGAGACCTGCGTGAATGGGAAGCTCTGGAGCCACCTGAGCCCTGGGGCAGGAGGCACCTGGGTGTTGAGGCCATCAGGCTGGAGCAGAGATGCCAGGGAGGATAAGGGCAGAGTGTGTGGGGAAGGAGCCTGGATTTTAGTCCCAGTGCAAGGGCGGCCATTGTGGGGGCTCTGCAGGGGTAGAGTGGGGGTGGCCCTTCAGCTCTGGCTGGGTGCTGGGGCAGAGCCCTGCACCTGGTGGCTGCTCACCAATTCCAGATGTGCTCCCCGGTGGCAGCCAGCACTAGGAGTCAGTTCTGGGAGCCCCTTCCCAGGAGATCTGGGGCTGGCAGGTTTGCTGAGTGTGTCCCCCAGGAGCCCTGGGGCCTCTGCCTTCCTCACTCTGCTGTCACCAGGACAGGGAAGTCCTGAAGCCCCTAGGCTCAGCATGCAGAGGCTGGAGGGAGCCACAGGCCTCATGTAGAGAGTCTGAGGAAGCCTGTCACATCAGCACAGAGATGGCCGAGGGCCAGAGAGGCGCTCTGGAGAGCAGTGCTCTTCCTCACACCAGGGCTGGCAGTCACACTGGGCCTGGGGCTTGTTCTTTGTGCATCACTGAGAAACTCACTTTGCAGAAATGATGTTTTCCTAGAGCCCAGTCCTCGCTGCACAGAGGAGTGTCAGTGTTGGCCTGAAACAGTTGCAGGGGAACTGTCTTGTGGGCTTTGGGATTCCGGGATATTTTAGGGATCAAGAAACCTTTGTCTCTCCCAATCACCTTCTGTCAGTCTTGGTAGCACTTGGGAAGCCCAGGCCACAGCACCCATTAATCTCGCCCCCCACAAAATTCAGTAGCGTTGTCTTCCTTTTTTCTGAGCAGACCTGTTTGTTGTCAGGAAAAATAGGCTCGGTGGGGTTCCCCAGTGTAGATTTGTCAGTGAGGCATTGAGCAGGTTAAAGAATAAGGGCTAATTTCCACCCCGTGTGCTATTGCATGGGCCCAGGCCTAAGAAGCTGGAGCCATCAGAGACCATCTGGGAGGGATCTGGGACGTCGGCCCATCCCAAGGACAGCCAGGGCTGATTGGGCTGAGTTATACCTGAAGCTTCTGCTGGCTCCGGAGGCCCAGCTTGGGTTCCACAGGCTCCATCGTTTGGCTTCTTGTCTCTCCCCCCAGAGGATGAACAGAGGGAGAAGTCAGTCTCGCACCAAACAGTGCAGCAGCTGGTCCTGGAGAAGGAGCAAGCCCTGGCCGACCTGAACTCCGTGGAGAAGTCTCTGGCCGACCTTTTCAGGAGATACGAGAAGATGAAGGAGGTCCTGGAAGGTTTCCGCAAGGTGCGTCCGAGCTCGCGGGCAGAGCAGGAGGCTGGCCTGTTTGGGCAAGACGTTGGGGGGCCTGTTGTGTCAGGGTGGGAGTCTGAAGGAGGCTGTGGAGTCAGACTGGCCACCTGGGTTCTACCTGCATCAGAGAGTTGGTGGGGCGCCCAAGTCGGGGCGTTTCTCCTGGGGGTTCTGACCCCTGTCCTCTGCCATGCTAGAATGAAGAGGTGCTAAAGAAGTGTGCACAGGAGTACCTGTCCCGCGTGAAGAAGGAGGAGCAGAGGTACCAGGCCCTGAAGGTGCACGCGGAGGAGAAGCTGGACAGGTAACACAGCCCTTCGGCTGGGAGCTCTAGTGGCCCCTCCCGCTGCCCAGGGTAGGGACGAGGGAGGCAGGAGGTGTCTGCGGTGATCTACGGCCACCTATGGGAAGAGGTCTAATTTCTGGGTCCCCTCTCCCCACAGGGCCAATGCTGAGATCGCCCAGGTTCGAGGCAAGGCCCAGCAGGAGCAGGCCGCCTACCAGGCCAGCTTGCGGAAGGAGCAGCTGCGAGTGGACGCCCTGGAAAGAACGCTGGAGCAGAAGGTGACGGGGAGGGTGGGCCTCTGGGCGGGGGCTGGTGCCCTGACAGCCGGCCAGTCCATCAGATACACAGAGGTGGGGGCTCCCGGGCAGGGCCGGCCCAACAGACAAGTTCAAGCTTCCTGAGAAGCCTCTGGGAGGCCCGGTTCAGTGCTAGCCCTGAAACGGACTTTCTCTCCGCCCTTCCTGGAACCGCTTATGGACTTATTTCCATTTTTCATTCCTTGTCAGCTTCATTCATGTGACAAATATTTGTTAGCACCTGTGATGTGCTGGCATGGTTCTGGAAGCCTGCAGCCCGTGTGCTTGTTGCAGAGTGATCAGTGCCTGCCAGGCTCTGCAGAGGATGGGCAGTGTCAGGCTAAAGGCCCGCATGGTCTCACGTTCCATGGATGGAGGTGGACTTCCCAGAGTTGCTCAGCGCACGGTGTGCCCGTCTCCCTGGGTTCCTAGATGAGGAGCCCCTGTGGCCCAGGAGCCTTATGTGCTTAGGCCAATGAGTCTGAGTCTAGGCAGTGGCCAGCCCATTCCAGATAAGGACCCAACCTTAGGATCCTCCAGTGGTCATTTGAGAGTGGTCTGAGCAGCATCACTTCTCGAGCAGCTGGGCTTTGCTGGGCAGAGGTGAGGGGTCTTGATAGGCAGTTGAGCATCAGGAGTCCAATGTGCCTGTGGAAACATCCTGCTGTCCCCAGGAGGTCAGCTCCTCTCATCCGCCCACACCCTGCCAGGTTGCAGCATGGCTGACCAGAGCAGCCTGTGGGTCAGGCGCAGTGACCTCTGCCCTGGGCAGTACCAGCTCACTTCACTAGGGGAGGTCAGGGAAAGAACTTGGGAATCAGGATGCTCAGCTCCTCCCTACTCTGCCATCTAATGGCCCTGGGCAAGCATTGTCCTTCCCCTTGGCTGCTAGGCTCCTTTTTGCTCTAGAGATAAAATACACAGATGAAATTCCCTGCGATTCGAGTCTGGTACTGACTTAGCCTACTGGGCATCTTCCCCATATGGCTGGTGTTCTCCATCCAGGTAGAATTGCTTCACCCTTGGGCCATTTCTCAAGTAAACCTCCAAAGAGCTCAGCCCAGACCACCCGTCAGAGGCAAATAGAGAGGCAAGGTCCACACTGTGTGCTGGATGCTCACCCAGAAGGACTTTATATTTTTTGCCTCATTTTCCATACCTCTTAAAGATACGGAAACTGAGGTTCAGAGAGGTTGTGTACCTTGCCCAAGGTCACATAGCCAGAGCTGGGATGTATACTCAGATTGTGTGGCTTTGAGTTCTCCTGCCGCTTTAGGTAACCCCATTGCCCCAAAGAGTCTCGTGATCTTCTAAGTGGCTTGATTTCAAACATCAAGAACTTAATTCTTGCCTTCATTTTCAGAATAAAGAGATAGAAGAACTCACCAAGATCTGTGATGAACTGATTGCCAAAATGGGGAAAAGCTAACTTTGAACCAAATGCTGGAACTTGACCGTCACGTGCAATATGGCCGTGGGCGCACTGCCGTCCTTCCACCCACACGGACAGGCTCTGTTTTCACTTTTCGTATGCACTACTGTATTTCCTTTCTGAATAAAGTTGATTTGATTGTATGCAGTGCTAAGGAGACTATCAGGATTTCTTGCTATTGGTTTGCATTTTCCTAGTATAATTCATAGCAAGTTGACCTCAGAGTTCCTGTATCAGGGAGATTGTCTGATTCTCTAATAAACACATTGCTGACCTTGGTCTTGCCCTTTGTACACAAATTCCCAGGTGAGCAGGTTTGATTTAATATGAACATGTACAGCGTGCATTGGGACTCTTGCCTTAAGGAGTGTAAACTTGATCTGCACTTGCTGATTTGTTTAAAAAAAAAAAATGCATGTTTCAAATAAAATTCTCTATTGTAAATAAATTTTTTTCTTTGGATCTTGGCAATGAGTGTGGCTGCGATTTATTTTCTGGGAAGGGGTTGAGCCTTTCTTGCCTTCATGAAATAATATCAGATTTGGCCTCTTGCTCTCCTTTGGGCTCATTTCTTTGTCCATTGATTCACATTCATTATCATGGCTGAGTTTGTAAGATGAAGCTAATGAGAAATATTGACTTGCTACTTAAATAATTAAGTGGATGCATTGGATTAACTTAGATTTTTGTTTTTACAAAGCCTCTGGCTTAGGAGGCAAAGTCTATTTCCTTTTATTGGGTCCAGGAAGTAAAGGGCTGTGTCACTCTTCCTGTCTGGCCCTTGATGTGCAAAGATCAACCCTGAAACGTCATCTATTCCCCTCTAAATGATTAGGAAAGAGTAGGCAATGACCAGGAGGCCGCTAATTAAGCTGCTTGTTTAATCAATTGCCAGCTGTCAGACTCCTTCACTACTCCCCACTTGCTCAGGGACAGAGGGTCAAGGACAGGAGGAGAGGGGTTCAGATGAAAGGGTCTGTTTGTTTCCTAGGTCCAGCAACTTACAACAGACACTTACTCTAACTGTTCCAGAGGCCAGGGCTCTGAAGGAGGATCTGCTCTGTGCCTCTCTGAGCTTCCAGTGGTTGCTGTCCTTTGGCTTGCAGTAGCTGCACTTGTCCTCTGCCCCTGACATCACATGGTTTCTCCTTTCTGTATTTCCCTCTCCCTTCTTATACAACACCTGGCATTGGACTTAAGAGCCCATTCCAAATTCAAAATGACCTCATCTTGAGACCCAGCTTTATCTGCCAATATATTTATTTCCAAATAAGGTCCCATCCATAGCAGGGATGTGGAGATGGCTGTCTCTTGTTGGGGAACATGTGTGTCAGTGGGATGTGGGGTGAGGCCCAGACACCCCAGTGGCCCTCAGCTTACCTGTCATCTTCTGCCCTAGGCACAGTGGCTCTGGGCTGCTCTCTTCACAAAGCCCCCCCCCCCCCCAACAGGGAAGGCCCCTGGCAGCCTCAGCTATGGGGGTGTGGGTAGGGTGAGGGTCTCTTCTGTGACTTGCAAGGTGGGTGAAGCTCACCTCAGCTCAGCTGCAGACCTGTCCCTTTCGTGGTTTTCCTTCAGCCCACGTGTAGTTATTCTCTTTCAGTGAGCCAAATTCCCCAGCGCCCATGGCCTCTAACTTGTCCCTCGCTGTCTCTGGAGCTCATGAGCTGCCCTTTGGCAAACTCACAGCAGTAAATGCTGAGGGGCAGCGCAGCATTCCCAGTGCTTAATCCAGCCCCTGCGGAGGCCGTGCGTTTGCAGGGTGCTGGGTGTTTTGCCCTCATCCTGCAAGCCGCACGCAGGAGTCCAGGAATTACTCCTTTAGGTTTAATTCCGGAGCCCCTCACGGGGCTTGAGCGGCTTGGGTTCGTGGTTTTGTGCAGTGAGGCAGGACGCACACCAGGGGGCGCCCGAGGCAGCTCAGGAAGAGGGTCTTGGGAAGGCTTTGGCCTGGGATTAGGTGATTCTTGGGAGAGGTTAAGGTAGTGGGCTGTGCTCCTGGTTGGATGCTGTCAGGGAGACAGGCAGTTCTAAGAATGAGTTTCATTGCGTCTTCTCTAAAACTGCCGTTGGTGAAAAGCCAGGATCTTTGCTCCCTTTTGTGATTTGGATGATGCTCACATTCTGCTCAGACACTTCTAGGGGTCGATCCTGTTTTTTCTGGACCCACCACAGTCCGAGTGGCCTGATGCTGATGATCTGTGACATTGTTTATGGTCAAGGCCCAGCATTGAGTGCCAGGCCAGCTCCAGGTTTCAGAGGCTGCTTTGTTCTTTCTCAGGATGAGGACTTTTATTTTTGTTTTTATTTTATTTTATATTTTTATATTTTTGGTGGCAGCCCAGCTGACACCTTAAGCACGTGCTCATTTTTAAAGTCTGGGCAACCCACTGCCAAACAGCCTTCCACTAGGGCTATACCCATATGTGATTGCTCCCCCGCCCTCAGGGAGGAGTGTGATTGGCCCCCACGCTGCTCTCCTGCCTGTCAGCCAGCCTGGCATGACCTCAGCCCCACTGGTGTGCACAACTACTTCACCACCCTGGCCCTCCAGGAGGAGGTGGCTCTGTCTCTGGGATGCTACAGGAAGTGCCACGTCAGCCCCCCCATTGTCCGTCAGCATGCTTCACTGGGGGTACTAAATGGAGTATTTCCATCAATGTGATTCCCTCAAGACCTTTAAGGGCTGTGTCAAGGTGAGACAGAGGTATGAGGCCAGGAGACCCCAAAGAGAAGGTGGGCGTGGAAAGACAACAGCCCTCTTCCTTCTCTGCTCCCTCATAGGCATTTTGGCAGGGAGATGGAGCGGAAAACTCACATCAGCTCTGCCCCTGGGGAGCTAGACTCTAAGGCATCAGCTCTGCCACCTTCTAGCTGTGATCTCACGGCAGGTCACTGACCCTCTCTGGACCCAGGTGTTGTATCTCTGCTTACCCAAAGCGCAGTTGGGAAGAGTTCTGGCCTCTAGGGCCCACCGGGGTTGAGATCAGCCACTTTTTCTCCTCTGCTTATTTTCTGTCAGCATGTGGACTTGTGTGTGCTCCTGGATGGGATCGCTGGACAGTCCCCCTGCAGCTGTGAGATTAGCAGGGCCTCAGGAACCGCAGCTTGCCAAGTCAGTCGTAATTTGAAGCTTCTAGTATATTTCTTTCCAGCTCGGCACTTCCCCTAGGGCTGTCAAGTTAAAGGTGGCTTGAGACACTAAAACAACTTTTTGAGGCTAGAGATGTGGATGAGAGCAGGAGGGAAAGATGGAAGGGGTCACTGATGACTTATGGGGGCAGGGGTCCTGGGGGGTTTCTTTTCCATTTAACCTCGGGGCTCAGCCCCTTAGGTGTGATATCTGAGGGACCAAAGGCCAAGCCAAGGTACATTCCCTGCAGACACCTGCATCTCAGATTGCTGACTCCAGGAGAGAAAAATAGTGCTCTGCATGGGGCACTTGAAAGAGATAATACGGATGGTGCTGGTGACTGCTCCTTCCCTGGATCCTGGTAAGATGCTGAGGTTTCTTTTCTTTCCTTTTTTTTTTTTTAATATTTAACAGTTTCTTCTAACATTAACATATTCTTACTACTATGGTACAGGAACACATAACAGGTTTCCTTATTAACCCTTTTTAAGTGTATAGTATGGTATTATTAACTATAACCAAATTGTTGTGCAACAGATTTCTAAAACTTTCTCATCTTGCAAAACTGAAACTCCATATCCAATGAACAATCCCCTGTCCCTCCTAACCTACCCCCTTACCAACCACTATTCTACTTTTCAATTTGAATCTCTATTTCCTTCCTTATATTTGGGGCTTTCAGGCATTAATTTCTCCTATGAGCTCTTGGTCTCTTGCTGTTTGTCTTCTCCTCCTCCAATGTATTGGTCTACTGGAAGGTTTACATAAGTCTCTTAGGATTTTTTCACTTTTCTTCATTCTTGTTTCTTTCTGTTCCTCTAACTCAATAATTTCAAATGCCCTGTTTTTTAAAAGTTCACACATTCTTTCTTCTGTTTTTAAATTTTTTTAAAAAATTTTAGTTGTAGATGGACACAATACCTTTTATTTTATTTGTTTATTTTTATATGATGCCAGGGATTGAACCCAGTGCCTCACACATGCTAGGCAAGTGCTCTACCACTGAGCCACAACCACAGTCCCTCTTTCTTCTGTTCGATCACATATGTTAGTCAACTCCTTTAGGGATTTTTTCAACCAGTTATTATATTCTTCAGTTCCAGAATTTCTTCTTGGTTCTTTTCTATGATTCCTATCTTTGTTGATATTTTCACTTTGTTCATATAGCATTTTTCTGATTTTGTTTGTATTCTTTTATAACACATTGAACTTCTGTAAGATAGTTATTTTCAATTCCTTGTCGGGTAACTCACGGATCTCCATTTCTTGATGGTCTATTTTTGAAACGTTCTTTTGACTGAGATATGATTCCCTGTTTCTTCATGTGCCTTCTTATTTTATTTATTTATTGCTGTTTTTTTATTATTTTATCAAACAACCACCTTTTCCAGTCTTTATAGACTATTTTCAAACAGGAAAAAACATTCATAAGAAACAAACAGCCTGGCTACTAATTTGGGGGGCCTCACAAACTTTCTCTGGAGGTGTATCTCTTCTGGGCTTGTGCATTTCATCAGGAATTGTTGTCAGCTTCTTTTTAGGACTTTGCAGCCTCTTCTTCCCCTGTGTCTGTCTGCAGTGCTGCTGGTGTTTTAGTGCTACAAGACATTGAGTTCTGTTTTGTTTTTAACCCCTAGGGACCCCAGTGTGCCAGTTCCTCATTGATGCTCCAAGTCAGGTGAGACAGAAAGCAGTTGTTTGGACATCCCTCCCCCACTCCAGTGGCTGGAATGCTGATGTACATTATGCTCTTCTCTTTCCCTCCCATGGACTGGACTCAGGTGTCTAGGTCATTGCACATCCTGAGCATGCTGGGCACCACCAGGTAAATAGTTTTCAGAGAAAGATGCTAGAGCTATTTTCATTTATGTTTATTTGTTGTCTTTGATTTACAGCTCAGTTCCTGAAAGTTCTGTGGAGAATGTATGTGCTAAAAACTCTAGGGGTGGGACTAAGGCCCTGGATCCCTGAGCTCAGATGCTGCAGGAAGTGATGGACCCAGCCAAGGCCAGGCTTTCTGTGTAGAAGCCATCAGGACTATGGCACCCTAAGCAGAAAGACACTCCCTACAGTGGCCAGTAGGGGGAGCCCAAGGACCTGCTTAGCTGGGTGCCCCAGAAGTGGTCCCCACAGGGAAGGTGGGATGTCAAGAAAGTCCTGGGTAATGTATTTCAAACTTTACAAATTTTTTTTCTAGTTGTTAATAAACCTTTATTTTATTTATTTTTTTGTATGCAATGCTGAGAATCAAACCCAGTGCCTCACATGTGACTTGCAAGGGCTCTACTACTAAGCCACAACCCCAGCTCCGTCAAACTTCTTCTTTTTTTTTTTTTTA